ATCCCTGATTCACAACAACCAACCTCTCCTATAGTTTCCCTATTTTTGAAACTTCCGCCACCGCCTTGTGCGGTACTACTGGTATCCGAACTTATGGTTTTTTTTAACCCATGGTTGTGCGTTTATACACCTATGATCACCTATGTTTTTTCACCTCAGTTCTGCAACCCCACATATGTTTTTGTCATTTAGGCTAGCACCTGCCTTGCGGCTTCGAGGTCGGGTCATTTGTCCAAGGATGAGTTTGCCATGCTCCTGAAGCAGTCAGGGCTGCCTAGAACCGCATGAAACCACATTCATCCAATGAATGGTCGGATGTCTAGCTGTATATAATTGTGCATAATTAATATCCAGTGCTTAGGAGCGGTTTCGAGCTAAGGTTGTGTTGGGGTATCTAAATTGCTTATTAAATGGGCAGCCAATGAGCTACAATCAGAGTTTCCCAGCCATGTTACTGACTAGCACCAATTTGAGATTATGGAATCATGACTGTGGCAAATAGTCGCATCAACTATCTACAGAGGACATGTATCCCCATTTGTTCTACATTCAGGACATGACATCTTGATCTCGGCAACCCAGTTGTCCAAAGGCTGGAAAATCACTGGATAAAAAATGTACCTATCCAATGGTTGGGTCGGGAGCCAAGTAGCTACTTTCAGTTTCGCAAAATTTAGTCATATGAGTCATATGAATAGTCTATAGTCATATGAGTCATATGAATCATATGATATTTGTGGGTTGTACCCTCTGGTAAACGTTTACATGACTATGGAAAATCACCATGTTTCATGGGAAAACTCACTATAATTAGCCATTTTCAATAGCTATTTTGACATAACCAGAGGGTACCATATTAAACCCCCATTGATATCCTATGAAATCCCCGAGGTCGCGGAAATTGGTCCCAACTCCGACCCTCGATGAGCCTGAGGCTTCTTGCGGTCACCAAAAACGTAGTCATAGCATCTGGTTTCATGGTGGTTTCATGGTGGTTTCATGGAGATCAAATGGTGGTTATATAGTTGAAAAATGTTGGAAATGGTGGTTTAATGTAGATTTGATGGAGATTTCAATAGTGAATAGTGGTTGTATAGGTGAAAATTGTGAAATTCCATCTGGTAGTCAAAGATGTCTCGCTGGAAATTCTTGCATTGATTTCTCCAGCAAACCTTCATTTTTGATGCAGATTCTCCATTGCCATCATGTCAACACAGGATGGAAAAGCCGTTGATTAATTCGAGAGGTTGCCCGGTTGCCAAAGAGCGATACCCACCAATCCACAGCCTAGTGGGGTTGACCTAATGACCTCATTAGCGTGGTGACTTTGATGACTAACCATCCACGCTTCGTCGGTAGACGCGTTGATGGATGGATTACCATGGTGAAGCTAGAGCCAAATTAAACCCATGGGGGATGGTCGGTGGTTTATGCTTTCGGGCTTGCCACATTGTATCACATTATCCATTACCCATGTTGTAATCGCCCAAGCATCGTCCATTAATCATCCATTAAGCATCGATGAATGATCCGATCAATATATTTTGATTATCCATTCGTCATCCATTACCAGGTACCACCATTGCCATTTGTTGCAACCAGGTTGCTGTTTTTGTTGCCTGACCACAGGTGTGGAAAGACGTTCGGGCCTCAGCTTGCGACTGCTGGAGTGGAGAGACAGAACAGGATTTTTTAACTGTTTTTATTGAGTAGTATATTGATCAGATGTCTAACATAGTGACAATAACTTCCTATTACACATGGTACCCCGCCTATTATTGATAAAACAGAGGTTTATGAATCCCGGGCTGGCATTGCCTATTGAAATATATTTCGGGAAACAAATATCACTTGACAGTCACCCAAAAGGTAATGTAATTTATCTGTGGCGAAAGCAGGTGGACAAACATGAAAAACCTTGTTTTTGTTGTGATGATTACGGGTAGAGGCTTGATATTGAAGGAGGCTGTGAGCAAGACAGGATCTTGCAGCAAGTCCTCTTTGAACATATCTTTTGCTAAGTTTCACTGCTTATACTATGCATGTTTTCTGTGATTGTTTGCATTCACTTAGTACCTGTAGAGAGCCAAACATGAACCCTGTTTAAGGATGCAAATGCACCTGCTATCTCTACAATTTCTGGTACTCTGGTGGTGTATACATGAACTGAGAAGCCAGTGGCAATGACAATGATACTGTAACATGCTAAAACAAATGATGATGACCCCGGTGAACTAATGTTGATGGAAGGAATCCTGCACCAGTTGGTAGATGGTAAGCATCCCATTATAATCCCATAGTCCCAAGGCTTCAAAGTGACCAATAGGCATCCCAACTGCAGCCACAGTACCCTCTGGTAATTTAACATAGCTATTGAAAATGGCCATGTATATATTGAGTTTTCCCATTAAACATGGTGAATTTCCATAGCTATGTAAACGTTTACCAGGGGGTATCACTCTTGTGGGTGGTGTGATTTCCATCTGCACTGCCTCCTGAAATGATGGCTCGACATGGCTCGACTCAGCGCTGCGTCGGATCAATGGGCCACGATGCCGCTGCTTGGATCCATTGGTTCATGGCGGATGCCGCTGTTGGCACAGAATTTGGAGAAAATTCTGGGAAATATCATGCTCCAAATATTCTGGGACATTTCTCCATTTATTCATTTCTCCAATTCAACACCTGATATTTCCCAGATTTCGAGAAAGGTAAAGCTACAGAGGAAACCTTGTACTTTATATACATCTTTAAACATACGTAATCACTGGGACAGACTGACACCATGGTACCACAAAGTTTCCCTTCAACAAATCCAGTGAATGTTCGGCGTGCCATGCGATTGTACGGCCTCGAGGCGGCGGAAGGCGAAAGATCTGGTGCGATATGCTGGATCCTTGAAGCTTGGGTGACCGCGGTGCTCCGGTAGCTTTGCAAAGATGGCTGTTCTTTGCCTAGCCTATGGGAAAAAGATGGGAAAAGTAGAGAATACCCGCGTTTTAAAATGTGTTCAGGCTTCGAGATTGTATTTTCTTGAGGGGATAGAAAAATGGGTGTCTTCAACCCAGCTTAGTTCTTTTGGTTGTTTGTGGCCAGGTTATCCAAGTTATCCAAGATTGGTCATGTGGGTGAAGCGCAACTGGTGCCCAAGGCTAAGCCTCGGTAGCATGATTTTGGTCACCCATTGACACTGACCCTAGGAAGGTGACTGCGGACAGCAGTGGCTTGGATGAAATTGGCGTCCTAGTGATGGGTTTTGTTTTAGACAGGTTGGTTACACGGGGTACTGATGTACTGTACCCCAACGCGGCTATGTCATTTCAATTGGCAAAAATTAGAACCTAGCAAAGTTAGTTTGGGATTCCCAATTTTGGAAAAATAAGTGGATTGACTTATTTGACGCTGATTTAGAACGAATACCATCATAACAGACGCCCTCCCAATTTCTCTTGGCGCAAATTCTTGAGCTTCATTTTCCACCTTAGCATGCCTTATTCCCAGAATTGAACCCAACATTTAAGCCAAACATAGTTGGGTATCAACCCCGGTTTCCCGGAACAAATCCTTGAAATGATAATTTAAGCATACTTCTGGAGCCCAAAGTATCCCAAAGTCCAAATCCAAAACCCTAAGGGTTGGAATTGTCTTATTCCCATCCCCCATTGTATGATCCCAACTAGGTGATTCCATCAAAAAAACATGGTTTCTATATAGATGTTTCTAGTTTCGCCAACAAAAAGGATTAGAAGAAACCGCTCCGCTTCCATATGGACATTTCCATATAACTTGAGCCATATAACTTCAGCCATAGGAGGTAATGTGGTTAAAACAATAATAAACTACCCATTTGGGAATGGTAAAAATACCACCTATCTATGGTGATGACTGGGGGATAGTTTATTATTGTTCTAACCACATTATATCCCATTTGCATAGCCCTTCCATCGCCAGCATCGCCAGGCGAAATCCACCTGGACCCGGGCAGTGCTCCTCTGCTCCCCGTGGGCCCCGTGGGCGTGGACCCGGTGGCCACTGCGGAGCTGCCGTCGGCGGTGCCGCTAGCGAAGCAGGCCTTGCCGCCAGGTGCGGATGGATGTTGTTGCGGATTTTACTTGGGAAAAAGGTGTGGGAAAAAGTAAATATGTTTTTTATACCAAAAAAAATATATGGGTGTTCTAGTTATAGTTATAAAGTTATAACTTTTTAACTTATAACTTGTCACTACAATTGTCATAATGGGATACAACACCGTAGATTAATGAGATTTAAATGAACGGTTTCCCAGGTTATGAACGCGAAGTTAGTTTGTAACTACTATAGCGAAGGTTTATGGTAGATATATCATGATATATCGAAGTAGTTAATGTCTTTTAATCAACTTTAATGAGGGGCCGTGGCCTAGCATATAATGTTGCAAACCTAAATGGCAATAAATCCACTTCTGGGGATTGTTTCTTTAACCCATTTCATGATATGATTGAGGACGGTTTGTTGGTTTTAGCACCTTCGATTCAGAAATGCCGGCCCGTTCTTTGCCCGTTCTTCATTTGAAGAAAATTGGGTTATCTCTTGGGTCACAGTTGAATATTTCGCCCAAAAAAACTAGTTTCAAGATGTTGAGCCGGTCACAATGTGGTACCCCCAAATGAGATCGCGCGTTGTAAGGCCTGAAACCCAGCTGAACCCCCCTTTCTCAGTGTCAGGTGTGCCCTTAGAGATCCTGGACGATTTGGCAGTTGAGCCGGCACCCCAGAGGGTGCTGGCCACATTCAAGTGGCATTGAATTAAGATGAAACACACCCCAGATCACCCAGGATTTTTGTGGGTGAATTTCTTTCCCATGACTATCGTCGATTCATGTCTAGTATATGTTGCTGTTTTGGATCAGGGAAAAAAGTCCACGATTTGACTCCCCAAGTGACCATCCAGAATTGCCTCGTCCCACCGGTCAGTGCCACATGGAAGCTGCCAGGTTTAGCCTTGGAGGTTCGCCCCTAGAGGCCTTCTCCCTGACCCTGCCCGGTGGCCTGCCTTTGACCTTGGAGGTGCGTCATGACTGGGACAAGCTCGGTAAATCTTGGTATATGCCATACATGGAGCATTGGGCTATGATGTCTATGGCTATGATATTCTGTTATTAATATTGTTTTATATTTGTTGGATTTGTGCCTGATTTTGTTTTTAGAGTCAAAGTGTTATTGTATGTTATTGTGATATTTCGGAGTGCCACATGCATTTCAATATGCGCTTCCATACTAGTTCGTTATGTTTTCCCATTGTTGAAGATGTTTTCCCGTGATTCTGCATTGGCCAAACTCAGATTCCTTGATGTTTGTACCTCGGTGAGTTTGCATCATGTTCTTGCACATAAACGCATGTATTTATAATATATATATATATTAATATATCTATATATATTATAAATACATGTATTAAATAATTATATGATATTAGATGCTCATCATTGCCAGGTCTATTAAATTTGGAGCAAGCAATGATGTCACACTGCCTCTTTGTAACCTTTGGAAGCCCGAAAAGTCGATGCCCTGTGGAGCTGAAGACTTTCCAGGCCCTTGAGAACCGACAAGTGATCAACAGCCACCTTTACTACGGACGGCGGAATACGGCGGCTCGCGGAGATGGCAAAGGGCCAAGGTTTAAAATGCCGACATCTCCGGAGACTTTTTGAGACTGAAAGTATCTGAAAGCATCTGAAAGCATCTGAAAGCATCTGAAAGCATCTGAAAGCATCTGAAAGCATCTGAAAGCTGGATTCCAAACACATGTGGCATCTGCATGTTTCTTTGCTATTAATGGATATTAATGGTGAATCGTGGTGGCATTCACAAACCAGCAAGGCATATTTTCTTAGCAGGGCATCTAAGCTCGGCCCATTTTAGTCGGCAGGACAAGTCGTGAGATGGAATGGCATGAAGCGATGGGGATTGGATGCTCAGGGGACGGGGGGTCAGGGACTATCATGGGTGGAGAAGACACCCTCCACAAGGGTTTTTGCATGTTTTTTGTTTCCCTTCTCATCTTGTTTCTCATGTTCATATAATTTTTGAGAACGTATGTCGATCATCTCTTAGTTTTACTATTGTTTTAATTTGTCGGACTCATGTCGCTGGTTCGGGAAACTGTGGTGCCGATAGCTCATGACCAAATATAAGTACTCCTTGTCTGGACAGAAAGTTTCCTATGCGGAATGTATGATTGATATCTCTGGGAGGGAGTTCGGTATTAAGTTGGGACACCCTGCTTGGGTTTTAGAATCTGAATTGCTTTTAGGTTTTCTCCATATGTTTTTTTGTTGCATGGTTCCGTTGGAACAGTAAATCTTAGGTTCTTGAACGTAAACCATTTACCCCAGTTCACTCCATTTCACTCCCATGGATATGAACTTATCGCAGCCGGGCTGCGCAACCTCCTGAACCAAAACATGCAACGTGCCAGGCAATGCGGATCAACAAAAAACGGGATGCCAGGCAACATATTCACCAATGCAACATGAGGCCCTGAAATGATATCTAGCTCCCAACTCATTCTGTGGATTTATCTTCACAAGGGCCATAGATAGGAACTTAGACCCGCCATTCCTGCAAAATCCTCTGGACAGAAATGAAGGAACCAATTTGATTTATCACTCAGATTTTTTTTTTGGTTTAATTTGTTTTCACAAGGGCCATAGATATGAACTTAGACCCGCCATTCCTGTACAACCCTCTGAACAAAATGAAGAAACCAATTCGATTGATTAATCAGAAACGGTTGAGTTCTACACAAGGTTCTGAAATGATATCTCCCAACTCATTCTTTGGATTTGTCTTCACAAGGACCATAGATATGGACTTAGACCCCCCAATTCTGCAAAATCCCTGAACAAAAATGAAAAAAAAACAATTTGATTTATCAACCAGGAACCGAAAGGTGTTGGGTGCCGGAAAGTTCTTTCTAAAACATGTGAAAAAATATTGAAAACTAATTGAAATATTGCCAAAAAATGGCTTACGACGCTTTCCACTGATAATTACATCAAAACCTTAAGTACTAATCAACAAGTGAAATGATCGTCAGGGACGCGAATAATAAACAATCCCCAACCAATCGGTTTTTAGTATTGAGGTGAACCCCTCAAATGGGATCATGATCCTTAAAATGGTTTTTTCTATCAAACTGACCAACCTGAAATTTCCCGAAAATGACAATTTGTATCTATTTTTAAAAATTTGGGGGTTAGAAATAGGAAAAGGGGATTAGCATGGGAGCAAAAGAAACAGGCGGACAATTGATCCTGTGAGATTGTGGATTTTGCTTGGATGCAATTTTTGATTCTTTTTTTACAACAGAAAGGCTCCAAAATGAAGGGGTTCTAGGATCAAAAGCCTGACTTCCGAAGATTTGATTCCAGAACCTTCCCAAAACAAGCTGCCAAAGGTCTAAAAACCATTCGTTGATCCCCAGGCCCCCCCTGGGAAAATCATTTCAGACACCTTTTTGGGGGTCTAAAATCTTCCTCGAGGGTCCCTGCTCGTACTTGAGGGTATCCGGTTTCTAGATTGTAGATGTCACTGAAACTACCATGGCTCATTATTAGATTACCCGCAGCAGGTATTACACTTGAAAAACATGATTATTGGCAAATAAAGTGTATGTCATGTGAATATGTTCAGTCACGCGTGCAATATACTGCAAGCAGGATTTGTTCCATCAAGGTCTTGTTTAATCCCTGGGAAAGCACCAATTTGATTGCGAAGAATAACCTTTTAGGAATATATTTCGAAGTTCGAATAATTAACCATTTTGAATCAAAGATGATGGATAACTTGTCGTTCGTTTTTTTTGGCCAGCATCCCTTCTTTGTTGAAAACACCATCTTCCAGGTTTGATTCGTGCAGAGGCTGCGGGACTGCCACCTTTTGTGCAGGCGATGCAGGGTTTGGATCCTGCGGTATTTGGTCAAAATCCGATCTTTGAAGTGTGCAATATTGTGCAATCTATACGGGATTGGAATGATTGGATTCATAGCCATTTACTATCCGCCATGTTATGTACAAGATATGTGTGTTGTCAAACTATGCCGCAACCACAAGCAAGATAGATGTGCGTAAAATCCTACAAACAAAGAAAAACGGCAGTAAATTCAACCTGTTCTATCTTCTTGGGGATTGCTTGAAATATTGAACTTGTTCAACGACACCGTTCGGGTGAGTAAGTTGGTTTCGGCTTCCCAAGACTTACTCTATCACAAGAATCCTCCAAGGTGACGTTCGAAAGGTTGTTACTTGCATGCAGATATAGTTTTGGTATGTTTGGATGAAGTAGCCTCCAAGTTCATGAAGTTTGATGGCTTGTGCTATACAACATGTAAAACTAGATACTGAGAATCATCCCCACATTCAATTGACCTTTGGAGTCCCCATTTGCACAGGGGATTCTCGTCGCACGTTGGGATTCCGTGCAGCCGCACAAATCCAGTGGTTAGAAGGGAGCTAAGGAGCTCTGGATATTTGGTTTCCCCATTCAATGGGCAGCCAAGGAGCTACAAATAGAGCCCCAACCACATCAACGTTACTATCATAGTTATTGTTGGTTGTATATCCCATCAAATCCACATAAAATTCCCATGAAAATCTCAGTTTGTACTAGTTGTTCTAAACCATCCACATTAAAATCCCATGAACATCTCAGTTTTTACTGTCTTTTCTAAACCATCCACATTAAACTTCCATGAACATCTCAGTTTTTACCGTCTTTTCTAAACCATCCACATTAAACTTCCATGAGCATCTCAGTTTTTACTGTCTTTTCTAAACCATCCACATTAAACTTCCATGAGCATCTCAGTTTTTACCGTCTTTTCTAAACCATCCACATTAAACTTCCAGGAACATCTCAGTTTTTACTGTTTGTTTCTAAACCATACACATTAAACTTCCATGAGCATCTCAGTTTTTACTGGTTTGTCTAAAACTATGCACATTCAAATCCCATGAACATCTCAGTTTTTACTGTTTGTTTCTCAACCATACATTAAAATCCCATGAGCATCTCAGTTTTTACTGGTTTGTCTAAAACTATGCACATTCAAATCCCATGAACATCTCAGTTTTTACTGTTTGTTTCTCAACCATACATTAAAATCCCATGAACATCGCAGTTTTTACTGTGTTTCCAACACTAGATACGATTTGTTGTTAACCGCTTCGGCAAGGAAGCATCCAAACTTTGGCAGGCCAAGTTGATGCAGCAGGCCGCAGCGAGTCGCAGCCACGAGGCCGGTCGTCAGATATGATACGGTATATGAGTATAAGTAGATGCCCATTGGGCCAGTATTATATATAGAGAGAGAGAGAGAGGGCGAAATATTCAACTATATATATATACACATATATATATATATGTTATGCATACAGACCTATATGTAGCTATATAAAATCGCAGATGTATACAATATATATATATATATATATATATTATAAACATATTTGTGTGTGGGAGGATCGGACCAGGAGACTCAGGAGACAGAGGCCAATGATCAACCCACGCAGGCAGGTATGTTGCTTCAACCGATGTAACTGCTGGTTTTGGGGTGGTTTGAAACCGCAGGATTCCCTAAGAAAAAGGGTGGTGCCAAGACGTTATTTATCTTATTTATCTCGAATTTATTTCCATACTTCCAAAACACCAACCCAAATCACCAGTTAAGAATTGGTTTATTGATGGGTTTGGCTTCTGGCTTTGAATTGGGAATGGGTGATCTCAGAAACTGGATTTTTGAACAGCAGCTTCACAACACCTATCAAACAGTACTGGTACCAACTCCTACAAGGTGGTGCCCCCCGGTTATAAATGGGTTGTATAATCCCATTAAGTATAGATATATCACCAATCAACCATAGTTATTGGACTTATAAACCAACTTAGCTAACGAACTGGGCCTGTAGGTACTAATCCAGATTCCCAGATGATCGGGTGCAACCAAGCCAAGGTTTTACCCACGGTTGAGATGGGTATGTGCTACGGTTGAAACAGGTTGTGACTGAGCCTCGCGGGGCTGGTGTTGTCCTTTTCCTTCTATTCTTTTGTACTTTGTCAATGCTAACTAACTTTGTATGCTCCAAATATTGTGTATTTGGGTCTTCTTTGTAATTACTGAGCCGTCAAGCAGATATTTTTCAATATTTGAACCTGTTATTGTCAATAATTATCTATCAATGCTATCTTTGTGCAAGTTTTTTTTGTTCAGTGGTTCCCCATCATGTTTAACCATCTATATGTGGGAATATCCAGTTAAATGTTAGGGCAATCATACACACATTCAGGTTTATTCATGTTGGACATATTACCCTATTATTCCATTATTAGTTTTATCATTATATTTTTCATATACATTTATATATAATTATATATATTTATTTATATTTGTCACACTATCTATATATATACAAGTTTTTCTGAGCCCTACATAGGTAGGGATCTTGCCCCGGTCACTGAGGATGTGGAGCCGCATCCGCATCCGGAGGAACTCCTCTACGTTCGACGCCTGCATGATACATAACTGGTGATGATAATGGAAATGTGATGGGGATATGATGGGATATTATATAGCCAGCAATTAGGAATACAATGGAATACACATTATCCCACCATCATATTATAACCACCATCATGTGATATAGTTTTAATTATGGGATATCCCATCATTATATGAGGAAACAGTTTAATAGCTATACAAAATAACCATGGTGCACAACTGGGTATAAATGTTATTATATAAATGTTGATCTACAAACCATTAAATAAGGTATATGTATGTCGATGCTGTTTTTTTCAGGATTGCTCCGATCCATTGGTAAACGATAGCCGCAAGAAAAGGTATCTCTTTCCAGTTCCATCCCTTGCATCCGTTTTCTGATCTCAGGACTCAGGAGTGCCACCCAAAAAAAACCGCATGAAACAGTTTCAAGACAGGGAGAGAGACTGACGCGGGTCTGCTTGGAGAAGTGAACTCATGTTTTTCCAGTTCGCGTGTTTTGTTTCTGGTGTTTGCTGTTACTGTGACTCGGCGCTACACCACTTATGAGAATTCTATAGTGCGCTATGATATGGTATATGAAAAAGTGTTGGTGTCGCAGTGTTCACAAATCAACAATTGGGATTGGTACAGGGGCCTAATCCAAGATGTTTTCTACTCCCTGCGCCCAGCCGCCAAAAAAAAAAACGATCCTGGTGGTTTGCACCGAGGAAGATCGGATGTGGTTGAAGGGGTGCAGATAGACAACGGTTCACAGGTCATGTTCAATATTTATGCCCCTTGGCGCATGGTGAGATGGTGCAGAGAAACTCCTCACCTCCAGCGGATCGATGGATTGATGGCCTAAGGTGGACGACCGAGGTACCGGGCTACGGGGGGTTGTGTGCGAGAGCATGTTGTAGATGTGAGCTGGGCGAAGTGGTGAATAAGATGTGATGGATGTGATGGTTTGTGTCTTTGGCCGTGTGATTTTGATATATTTTGATGTGATTGGATGCAGACATATTTTTTGGGCAGGATACCCTCTGGTAAACTAACATAACTATGGAAAATCACCATTTTCAATGGGAAAATCCACCATAAATGGCCATTTTCAATAGCTACGTTAAATTACCAGAGGGTATCCAATAGCTTCCATGGAATTGAAGTCCCAAATCCTGTTTCAACTCACGGTTCGCTGATGGCAGAGGTGTGGGCGCTTGCAACGTGCAAATCGCCTCCAGGGATGCTGCGAAAAAAGGTCCTGCTGCGAAACCACAGTGGTTTGGCGGAGTTGCGAACCATGTCTATACATGTCTATACATGTTTATAAATGTTTATATCATATACTATGTACATCTATGTACCACTTTCACTGGATCATACTGGATACAAAATGATACATGTTGCAAGTGTAAAAGTTTGAAGTCTTGCTGAATGCAATTGAATGCCTAGTGGTTGCTCCACCTACCCGAGGTTGATTCAGATTTCGGAGATCGTGACAAGTGATCAACGTGGGAGATTGTCCCGAATGGTTCAAGCTGATGAGTTTGATGAGGTATTGCAGTATTTTGAGATTTAGCTAAAATCCATATCATACAATATGTACATTATATTTTACATTGCATATGTATTTATACATATATATAATTATATATATATATATCATGATATATCATATCATGATAAATCACATCATGAGTAATTATACAGAAGCCGGATAGGTAACTTGGTTCCTATCTAGGTCCGGTTAACACATCTGCGTTTCGAACTGAGACGAGTTTCTTTTTTCAGATGTGGCTAGCGCTGAGGTCAGTGGGGATCACGGCTATGTCAGCTTCAGGACAGGGCAACCCGGAGGCGGAGAGTCTCTCCGAAAGTAGCTCAATGGCTACAAGTGAAGCCTGATATCCTAAGATATCCTAAGATCCGTTACGTCTTCCAACATCAAGATTTGTTTCAGTCACCAGATGCTGGTTGGTGGTTTGGAACATTTTTTATTTTGCTATAATATATTGGGATTAATCATCTCAACTGACGAACTCCATCATTTTTCAGAGGGGTAGGTCAACCAGTTGAATCCACCAACCAGTTGGTGTTTCCCCAAGTTTCCCCCGTTTCTCTGGTGAACTCCGCTTTCCGGTGAGGATGTTCACGGCCTGGGCGTCGAAGCATCTGGAGCTGGACCTGCCCTTGGGCCTTGAGGTGCGAGGATGAGATGGGATACCCGGCCTGGTAAACCATGGGAAAACCATGGGAAAACCATGGGAAAATGGTGATTTATATGGAACATCGCCATCTTAAATAGGTAAAATCATGTAAAATCAACTATAAATCACTATCTTCAATAGCTATGTTTACCAGAGGGTAAACCAAAATGGAACAATAATGCAATATAAGGGGAAAACAAAGACATATGATGGAAAAATAATCCAAGGACCGAATAATAATCCAGTATAATTCTTTTAGATAATGGATGAAAATGATGGGAAGATGATGGGAACTAATGGGAAGACAATGATAATCCCCTTGATATCCCCATTGTTCCCACTATTTTTGCCATAGTCTTTTGGATGGAAAGATCATGGAAAGATATCCAAGGGGATACCATCAAAAAAAGGTGTTGAATGAGACTTAATGGGGCTTCAGCGGGATTGAATGGGGAATATGATAGAACGCACCCTCCGGTAATCAAATTTGAAAAAAGAAAACAATGGGATATGAACGGGAAGACAATGAGGAATCATCCAGAAAACTTGGAAACTAATCCAATATAATTCTTGGAAGATTATTCATGGAGGATATATTATCATGGAACATAGTTTATCCAATACAACTCATAACATTTATATGTTAACCAGGCATTTAATCCAATGGACCATAATCCAGGATTTTCATGGATTTTCCTGCTCGCCAACCCCTTTTTTACTGGGTACCCACGGTTTGCCATAACCATTGGTCATTCTGAAACACTGGAAGTATTTGGATTCGACAACAGGATAAACTATCCACCAACTGGTGCAGGATTTCGCAACCATCCACAGTAGCTTGCACTTGCCATCAACATGTTCAATAGGTAAAATGTAAAATTATCTGTAAATGGGCCATTGTCCAAAGCTATGTCAAATTATTTATTAGCGGGCATATGCCCTGATATTCCTATATAATTCCATGACATCAGCATATTTTCCTGGTTAAATTCGAAATTCCATATCTTGAAAAGTCCGAATCTCCGAAAAAATGGATGATCCCCGAGCACATCGTTGAGACACCCCGTTTTAGGCTTGGGAAAGTTCCTTGGTCCGCTTCAGACACACCCAGCATCCCCAGAAAGAGTCGGAAACACGGCCAGTCCAGCGATGCCAGCAGCCGGCCCTGTCGTTTTCGTCTAGGCCGGTGGATGCCGGTGGAGAAGTAGGAGTTTTCTTCGGAACAAACTCAGGGTCATTGCTGGGCCCCCAAAACAGGTCAAAACATGGACGTGATTTTTTTCAAGTTTCAGGAAAAGGGCATTTTCATTGAAGTGATTTTGATTGAACTGGGAAGACTTGAGGAAGACTGTGAAGATCTAGAGTGAATAACAACTCCAGTCATCTCAATCCAACCGGTTTGCCATTTGAATTCACCTGGGCATGGCTAACGGGAAAAAGACACGTTTTTAGATATGGCGTAGGTTCTGTTAAAAAAGTGGTATCTAGAGGGTTTACGTATGGGTCAAGAAAAAGTAGACTGATACAATTTGTTGTACTATCCTTATTGGGTAATTATAAACTTCCCTAGTATTGCCATAAATGGGTACAAGGTGGTGCCGCCCAGTTCTTAGTTGGTCTATAACCCCCATAAACATCCATAAACTATAGTTATATATGTATATCCCCCATAACCCTTAGTTCACCAAGTTTTGTTCGTCAACTTAGCTATCAAAAATCAATAAAGATCAGCTTTGAATCCCATAGTATCCCTCGAAGGGCTGGATGAGGGTTCTCGCTCATTTGCGGACTATCTCAGGACAAGTGACCATCTAAGATGGGCACGTACCATTGAGAAGGGCACCATATTTGCAGGGTTCAGAGTCAAGTGCCCTTCTCCGGGGTATGTGCCTATCTCCGGGATTTGGGAAAAAGTGGGACAGGCACATACCATTGAGAAGTTATGGGGATTTGCGTACAAACCTCTGAATCCCCATTTGTCATCATTGTTCTTGGTTAAATCCCCATTGCCTTGTGGTTTTCAGTTGTTCGAACTGGGTCAGAGCCTCAGATCATGCCCCGGTAGAGCTTCACGATCTCCAGGTGGTGACGGAGATCGTTGCAGCTGTGACAAGTTCCAGGGCGCAGGGCACAGAGGCGCACCACAAAACGATGAGAAGCTGAATTCATAGACTCTATAAATGACTATAAAGTGAGGATACATATGTAATAAACAATATGTATATATATATATATAATATATATATAATACATATATGTGTGTATAAAGATATATGCATATATATATAAACAAGACAATCAATGTGCAAACTGGCTGGTGAAGGGTTCTCACAACAAATACAATATAAGAAACCTATATAAACCAGCGATCATCAGACGCCCATTGAAGAACTCGCAGCCCAGGTGAGGAGGCCAGCGCCGGAAGCGCGCAGCTCTGCGCCGGGGGACTGTGGCAGGGTGATGTAAGAAGAAATTGAGGCATGTACCTAGTACGACTATCTGTAGTTGTATGATGTTAATTATTTGTATTTAACTTTACCTTATGGCAAAATATATGTGCACTCTATTTCTACCTCTCTCTCTCTCTCTGCCCTCTCTCTCTCTCTCTATTTCTTTCTCTTTCTTTCTCTCTCTCTCTCTAAATATATATATATATACACAATATTGTATTTTTACATGCGCAGCTAAATATTTGTATTGTGGATTATTGCGGTTTTACTGTGAACATACATCTTTTGTGCAATTTCATATGTTTGCAACCGGATGCATGCAGGTGTATAGATATATATAGATCTTAATGTAGCTCTACCATGATATTTGACTATTTGCAATGATTCCCTGTATAACTGGATTTTGGCGATTTTGCTTCGTTGGAATTTCGTTGGAATTTCGTTGGAATTTCGTTGGGTCATTGTGGCAAAAGGTTTTGCCACAAGATTTTGTTTTGCCTCATCTTTCTTCGTTAGGATTTCGTTGAAATTTCGTTGGGACTTTTGCTGGCTTGTCGCCTACTTGACATTTGCAGCAGCAAGCGCAGCAATCTTATCAACCATGTGATGAAGTTAGACAGACCCTTGCAACCAATTCAAAGATGTTTTCAACCACCTATTGCAACGATATTGTTTGGCGGTAAAATGCTGTGGCAGTCCGTTTTGTCACAAGCAAAAGTTCGTTAAAATGCTCTTTTTTTTCTGTCGATTTTTGAGTTGTGGCAAAATGTTTTGCCACAACATTTTGCCACCAAGAAATATCGTTGAAATTTCGTTGATAAATCATACCATACCATCATACACACTCCACGAAACGTGAAAAGCAAAAAGACCCACTGACCGGTGGGATACATCTCTCAACGAATTCTCAACGAACTGTTCAACAAAATTTCAAATGGCAAAATGTGTGGCAAAACCGATTGCCACACGTTTTTGTGCCATCATTGCCACAAACCAATACTCGTTTATACAGGCCCCATTGCAAGTCATGTAGGGACGCATTACAATAGATAAATAGATAGATAAATTAGATTAGATTAGATTAGATGAGATCACATTAGATTATATTAGGTTAGATAGGTTAGATAAATAGATACATAGATAGATAGATTAGATAGAATAGATATATTAGATATATTACATAGATTAGATAGATTGGAAAAATATATTAGACACTAGATAGATTAGATAGATTAGATCGATAAGATATATAAGATGGATTAGATAGATAAGATAGATAGGATAGATAGGATAGGATAGGACAGGATAGGATAGAAGAGATAAATAGATAGATCGATAGATAGATGGATAGATGGAGATATAAAATCATATACACATAGATATGTCATAAGTTTAACTGTTTGAGAATTATTCGTCCACTGATTTCAGGAACCCAAGCGACAATGCAAAAAAAAACGGGGACCATCCTTTCACCAGAAAAGCCACTTGGACGATCATGCCACTTACGAACTGGTGAATAATCATATTGAATGATCATTATTGTTATTGATGATCTATTTAAATCCATTTAATGGATCATCCCACTAATGGTTGCTATCATTATGAAAGTTGGATCCTTCAATAATAATGATAATTATTTTATTAGTAACTGGTGAATAATCATCTTTTATTATTGGACCCAGGTAATTATTCCAATTAATAATAATCTCTTTTAATGATCCAGTTGTATTGGACTAGACAAGGCATTTTTTTCTGCCATGATTTCTATAAACAGGGGCCATTTGGTTTGGCCAAATCCAGGACGAGCCACGAGTCACCAGGGTTCACAATTGGTTAACGAATCAGATGGTTAACGATCATTTCATGTACCGCACGGACATTGTGTGTGTGTGTGTGTTTTCTTGGCTGGCATTTCTGTAATCATGTTGTTTCATTGAAAAATCGTGTGGGAAATCATCAGAAAGCATAAACATAAAATGGGAAAATAATCAAAATTCCATGGGAAACAATGATATTTGATATCAGCATGATATATCATTCGATATTTCAGCATAAACATCAAATATCGGGAAATTCCATGGGAAAAGCCCTGCAACTTAGAAGCAGCTGCTTTTGCTAAATGGTTATGCCCTTTAAAGCTCGTACTAGCATGCTAAGAACCGGTTATAACTGGGTTATAAATGGTTATAAAAGGAAGAACCCATTAGTAACCCATATACCTCTTAAGAGAGTTATGTAATCAACTTTAATGTTTATGATAATGAACTTAAAGTTCATAAACTTTAGAGAGGTTAGTAAATATTTAGCCCCTATCTTGGCAATGTTTTTTTGGTTTATCTTTTGTTTTTTGATAAGCAATTTTATATTTTGGACGGTTTGAAATTATCAGTAGCCAAGCCTGCAAGCAAATTTCTGCTTGTCACCTTGTGCAACTACATTCTATGTATGCCTTGAAGCTGTGACTTTCCAACTTGCAAGCATGAACAGGCAAAGGTTTCTGCGACTATATACCTTCTGACTTTTGCAAGCTGCCATGCTTGCTTCTGTATGTGTTTCTTCTTAGCCTTGGCAAGCTTCCTTGTGCAAGCTTCTTTTTTCAGCTCTTACAAGCTGTCATTTGTGCTCTTGTTCTTCAAGCCCTTGCAGGCTGCCACTTGCTCATGACTTGCTTACAAGCTTGTGTCTGCAATCTTTGTGAAAGCTGCATGCTTTTTTGTTCCGCAGCATGACATGTGCTTCAAGTGCTGTGGTAATGAAGCCTTGCATGGCACAAATGTGTGGAACACAGGTGTAAGCCATGAAACACGAAGGAATTAAATGCCAAGATTCTTTTCCAAAACAAGAACAGCAGTTTTTTCACCTGCTGTCCAGCATGTCGCTGCCATGGGTGACCAAGTTGCTTGCAATCATTGAATCAGATGCCCCCATCAACCAAAAGGCTGCCCAGGCCTTGGATTTGCTCAAGGCCAGTGGTTTGGCCTATGAAGCCAAATTGAAAGCTAAGGACATGCTTGTCCACACCTCCAACAGAGGAGGTGCAATGGTCAATGCATTCGATGTGATCTCCAAAGGAGAGCAGATATGTCAAGTTGGCTGGGACCTGAAAAAAATCACCCAGTCTGTCTGTGTTGAGCTACCTTATGAACCCACCAAGAGAAAGGCAGCCATAGATGCAAATGCCAGATTGGCAGAGCAGAGTGGTGGCCTTTTGGCCAAACCTTTTGGCCAAGAAAGGTTCCAAAGCCTTTCGCTGTCCCACACCACTTCCTTCCTCAGAAGCCTTGAAGCTGGTTGCAAACTGGGGAATGACACTTTGTCAGTAGAGCAGATGGTTGCTCAAGGAGATGACTTTGGTAAGATCTTGCAGGAAGGCTGGGATTGGACAGTTGTTGCTGCCAAAGTTGAGGAAGAAGTTCCAGCACTCCCTGGTTTGCTTCAGCAAGCTCTGAGCAGCAACTCGCATGGAAAAAAGATTTTAACCATCAAAGATATGTAGCTGCCTTGTTTTCTTCAACCTATGTTTGGTTTGTGGAGCCCAGGCGACCATGGTATCAGCAGAGCAGACCCCCCAATGAGCTGGAAGTCGCAATGACAATCGCCCACCATTACCAGCTGCAACCTCAGGGCATGAAGAATTTGGACAGGGCTGTTCAACAAGCAGCATCGAGCATGCCACCATGCCAAAAGTACATCAAGAACATTGGCAACTTTGTTGCCAGCTTTGCTGGAGGAGAATCTTTCAATCTCTTGAAGTACTTGGACTTCATCAGTTTCTTAGCTGCAATTTTTCCAGCATAAACAGCTCAGCTTTGAAGCTAGCCATGTAAGCTCATTTCAGCCAGTAAAGGCTGGTCCTCTAGCCAGTACAGGCTCCTGTATGGAAAGGCCAGCATGGTGCATGTAGCTTGCACTGGCACTGAGGTCGCCAATTTGGTGGTTCTTTGATGTTTGGAGAGGACTTCACAGACTTGTTGGCCAATTGCGATTGGAAGCAGGGCAGCACCACCTTTCCAATGCTGAGGGTTGCTTTGGCTTGTTGCCAAGTTACTTCTCCAAAATCTTCTCAGAAAGACGGGTTTGCCAAGCTGATAGCAAAATCTGACTTTGACAAGTTGAAAGGGAAAAAGTTGTTGCCCAACCTTTTGAAGGCAGAGTCTTTGATGCTGGCAGCATGAGAAGCAATTCAGAAGTCAACTCTCCCATTGGAGAGGATTGCCTTGCCATTTGGAAAGCTACAAGTGAGACTAACTTTGTGGCTCCTCGACAAGGAGATGAAAGGTAGGGAAGCAACAAAGTATGAAGACATGACCCAAATCAAGGACAAATTTGAAACTGAACTTGCTGCATGCAGTACTCAGCAAGATGCTGGTGCTGCTTCAGCTTCAGCCACTTCAACCTCTGTGTCACCAGGGGGACCTGTGAAGGCTTTGGAATTGGCTTCAGACCCCAAGTCCATTGCTTTGAGCCAGCACAAGCACATCAAGCTCAATGGCTTGTACATCTACAAGGGTGGCGACAAAGTTTTTTCTTTGCAGGAGATGAAAGATGATGGTGCCTTGCTTCAGCATGCGCCATATTTTGGAAATACCGAAGAGATGCTAGTCAAGCTTGCAGATTTGAAATTCCTCAAAGAATGGAAGAAGCCCAGGCCTGCACTCATTGCAGAGGATGTGAGAACACAGCTGCTTCCATCCCAGTCCCACATGTTGGAGCAAGAAGTGGCCACAGCCCAGGCCCAATGTGCTTTGTATGAAAAATACAAAGAGTTCCAAGGCTGCAGCAATGTTTTGCATGGTCACAACATATTTTTTGGCTTTCATAATTTATGGATTCAAGCTTCCATTTTTGAGCATCCTTTGCAAAAAGTTGGCAACAAAGGCTGGGAGATTTTGAAGTGCTGGTCAGCAATCAACATGAAATCTTTGCTGGTGCCAAATACAACAGAGGCAAGCTTCAGCTTCTCCCCATGCGAACTTTGCAGCTGCTTTCTTTGGCCAAAGCAAGCAAGGGTGCATGTATCATCAAGTCGAAGGATTTGGAAAATGAAGGCTATTTGGTTCAGCCATGGAAATGCGATTTCAATAAGAAAGCAGGGATGTTTTGTCCTTTTTGGATGGTCAAAGAAGGTGAGAACAAGGAGGACTCTTGCTTGACAAAGAGCACAGTGAAGGTGGGCAACCTCCACATCCCTTGCTTCACCAACAAGAAGCCACTTGAAAAAGGATGCCCTTTGCTGGTGGAGCCTGATGACACTAGCAGCTCAAAAAAGAAGAGAGCTGTTGCCAAGTGATTGCACTATAGGCAGCCAAAAGGGCGCATTGAGTTTTGACATGATCAAGGAAAATTGTCAAAAGAGATTGCTAGCAAAGCTTTTGCAAGCTACCCACAGCTTCTGCAAGCTTCAGCTGGCCATCTGTTAGCTTCCACAAGCTTCTGTTTACACAGCATCCTGATTGGGCTTGCAGTACTACATCACCATTGCTGCCTTGGCTCAGGTTGCAAGTAGCCACCTGACTTTTCCCTGCAATGCAAGTTTCAGAGGTGATTACCTTGTCTTACAAGGGTGGGCCTCCAATTTCTTTGCCAGCAAGCCTTATTCAACATGATGAAGATGGCAGGAAATGGTTGAAATTCAGGCCCAGCAGCCACACCTTGACCACGTTGGTTCTTGGCCACATGGAAAATTTCAAGCAGGTGAAGAACCCGTCTTTGGCTGCTTCTCCAAGAATGAAAATGATCCAGGAAAAGGTCAAGGAAGCTGTACTGGCACTCCAAGAGGAAGATGGTGACAATGCTCCAGAGATGTTTGCAGAAGCTGGAGAAGAGGTTTCTGAGAAGAGCCACAAGGAGATGAAGAATGCTTTGGATTCTGCACCTGCATCAGTGAAAATCACACTGCTGGGCAATGACATCGAGGTCAAAACACCAGCTTCCTGGAAACAAAGTGATTTGCTGGTCCCCATTGAAGCCAACTGCTTGACTGTGCTGTGTGACTACATCTTGCAGGATGTGTCTGGCTGCCTGGACAAGGAGAAGAAGAGACAATATGTACAGTCTGGAAGGTTCAAGAAGAAACCCAAGGTGCTTGGCGACCAAGCTGAGGATGATTAGCGATTCAAAGGTGCAAGGCAGATGGCTGAAAAAGTCTTGGCTGGTTTGCAAAGCCTGTGCAGGCTCATGTGCATCCACTTTGTTCAAATTGGCCATTACAGGCAGTTGCTCTTAGCCTTTGCAGGCTTCAGCTCGCAGCCAATACAGGCTTCCAGGTGTATGATTTCTGTTGGTTCATCTCTGTACATAGCTTTGCGCATTTTCAAGCTGGCTCTACTGCAGCTTTTGGTTTGTCAGGTGTAGCTGGAATGACAAAGCCTGAGGACCTGACCCATGAGCAATGGTTGTTTCACCATGACAACTGGGGCTGGAGAGCTGAGGAGCTTGCAGTTGCTTGGCTTTGCTGTTGGTTTCTTTTGTGCCTAGCATGGCATTGGCAGCACCAAGGCTGAAGCTTTAGAAGCTGAAGCCCTTAGGGCTGCTGAAGAGAAGAAATGGTATCAGAAGGTTGGCCACTTGACTCTCACACATGCAATGCAATGTTTGTTCATGTGCAAATTGTTTTGCATGTAGCACCTTGGCAGGCCCAGCAGCCCACTGACATGCCCTTGGGAGATGTCAAAAAGGCTTGCAGAATTTGATGGCAAAGCAGCAAGTGGTTGTATCTGATCCAGTTCTTCAATCCTGACCCTGTGCAGGAAGAAAAGTTGGATGACGCCCCTGATGACTTAACAGTGGAAACCTCAATGTGTGTTGAGCCACCAAATGTTTGACATTGCATGTGTATCCTAGCCTGTGCAGACTCAGTGCTGCTTGCTGTCCCTTTCCATTCCCCAACATTCATGCATTGATGCTGCAGGAGCCACCATCTCCACAACAAGCTGCAACCCCATCGAATCCTGATGAGCCTTCTGCAGAATATGTTGAGGCTGGTCTTGCCTTGAAGTCAACTATTGTTCACACATTTTTGATTACACCTGTTAGCCAACACCAGCAGGTGAAGGAGGAAGAAGAATGTGTTGCAAAGGCTGCTGATGTATCTTGGCTGGATTGCTTTAGTCAGTTTCCCATTCTAGCTCATGGAAGCTTCCTTGCAAGCCTTCATAGGCTCCTGCCAGCTTGTACAAGCTGAAATCAAGCCTTTACAGGCTGTCAAGCATAGCCTTTGCAGGCTGCCACTCATAGCCTTTACAGGCTGCCTCTTGCGGCTTTTGCAATTTTCATGTTCATGTTTTTAGACATTGTTTTTCTTTTCATTCCAATCTGAGGTAAAGAAGAAAAGACGCCTCCCTGGACCTGTCAAGCTTCCCAGAAAGGCAGCAAAGGGCCTTGAACCTCAACCTGCAGGTTCCCTTGGACTGGCATCTGCAAGCCAACCTGAGCAACCTGGTGTTCCAGAACCACAAGGACCACCTCCTCCTGTTCGACCTGGTGTTCCAGAACCACAAGGACCAACTCCTCCTAAACCCGGTACCTTGGTGACTGACAAGGGCCTGGACCCACAGCAACTGCAAGAGCTCACCTCTGCAATTGAAGCCTGTGTGAGGCAGGGTGATCAGGATGAAGAGTTAGGAGAATATGATGGATGGTATGGAAGCCACTGGTGGGAGAAGTGCAAGTATGAGGAAGCTATGTGGTGGAAGTTTACTCCAGGAAAAGGTTGGAGTCGCTTCAGAGACCAAACAGTCTCTTGTCTATTTTTTCATGTAAATTTTCCACAGAGAATGGCACCTCAAGAATGAGTGAACCATTTTCCTGAACTTATATTTGTCACTATCACATGATCCATGTGAACCATTCCAAGGTTCCAGAAGGACAGAAAAGTGGTGGATGGTGCAACAAGTGTGCTGCTCTCCTTCACATGGACCTCAAGGGTCACATGGAACTCTTGAGTGAGCAAATGGAGCGACTGCGACAACACCCCGGTGTGAAGGATGCGCTGAAGAAGGTGGACTGCAGATACAATGAATTGGGCACTGCAGTGTGCAAACAGTATATCTGAAAGAAGATGCCTGTACAGAACTAGGCAACTTTTCAAAGCAGCTGATGTCATCAGCCAGGAAAAAAAACAAATAATGTACTGGAGCTGCTTTCAAAAGCCACTACAGGCTGAGGTTTTGTGGTTGCATCCATGGCCATCTAGGCTATTGTTCAGCCAATCCAGGCTTTGTGAAACCTTTGAAACAGTCTCACCTGTAGTAAACATATCACATCATAGCATTTTAACTACTACTTCAGAACAACTCAAATGTTGTTGATCCATCACCAACTGCATCACCAACAACTGAGAAAGCCATTGGCTTTGAGAGTTCACTGCCTGATGAAGAAAATTTCTACACTCTATTTGAATTTAGATTTCTAGATTAAATTTTCAAAATTTAGATTTTGAATTTAGAAATCTAAATTCAAATTTCAAAATCGAGATTTTGAATTTAGAATTCTAAATTCAAATTTCGAAATCGAGATTTTGAATTTAGAATTCTAAATTCAAATTTCGAAATTTAAATTTTGAATTTAGAATTCTGAATTCAAATTTCAAAATTTAAATTTTGAATTTAGAATTCTGAATTCAAATTCCAAAGCCTCAATTCTCAATTTTGAAATCTAAGCATATGTTGATTTCAAAAAGCTGAATATATATCATCGTAAATTTCAAATGGCAAAGGGCCATATGATAAAATTTTGCTTCTTTAGCACACAAACGTATACAAATCTCATTGTTTTGCAAACACACTGTCACCTTAGATCAAGGACATTTCACTTTGCGCCATGGAGCCAGTGGATGAAGAAATTGCCAACCCACATCCTATTGGTGATGTCATCTTAGATGGTGATGAAGACTCACAGGTTGCTGTGTTTGAAAATGGCAGGCCTACCTCATGGGCATTGCAATTCAAAAAATGGAGGGCCTACTTCAATGTGCCAGAGCCCATGCCACCTACTTCAGTGAATGATGAAGTTGAGCCACAACCTGAACCTGGAGGAGAACGAGCCTTGGATGATACCACAGCTTGCAAAGGAAAGAAAAGAACCAGTGAGGATGCAGGCTTTGAGCTGAATTAGTTTTAGGTTTGCTGGTGTCTGGTGACATAAATGCACAAATTAAACATTCCAATTTTACTGTAGCTAATTCAATTTAGTTTTGCTGCATTGGCAGCAGGCACAAAGCTTTCATCACGCATAGAATGCAAAATTGCAGCTTCCACATAGCCTTTACAGGCTTGATTGCAACTTTAGCCTTTGCAGGCTTTTCATTTTGGCAGCACCTCACACATGTTTGAGTGGAGCTCTAGCATGTGCATGCTAGCTTTTGCTGCTGGATGCCTCTCATGTGTCATCAAACAAGATACAAGCCACTACAGGCTGTGGTTCCATTAGCTCAATGCAAAGCATATCTGCATTGCCATGTACATATCAGTATGCATTTGGCACAAGCCAGAAAGCACCCAACTTAGCTTCACTCAGCATGCCTGGCTGGACAGTGGCAGACATCAAGAATGAGCTGGGCTGCATTAGCAAGCTCTTACTAGCCAGGCCTGGAGTCTTTGAGCTGGAGGGCAAGCTATGTGGTGCTTTGAAGCATAAGCTTTCTCTCACGGCTCCAATGGGGCCTTCAGATTTGGTCTTCTGCTATGAAGCAGTCAGGGAATCGCAGTTGCCAGACACCATGAAAGGTGAGCTCACCCAAGTCTTGGACAGCTTGGCTTTGCAGGAAGCTTCCCAAGAGCACTTGTTGGCCACTGCAACCATGGCACAAGAGTGCGTGTCCTTTCAGAAATATTTGACCGCTTCAGACATCAAGGCTTTGAAATCTGCAAGTATGTGGGAAGGCTGCACTACTTTGGCGACAAGAATGAAGCTACTAGGAATATCTTCGATGAAAGAAGGTATCAAGAAGACAGCTTGCTCCATATTGGTCTTGTTTGAGAAGGACAGAACCAACACCATTCCACCTGGTGATGCTGTCTATTCTTTGAGCCACCATTTGTATGAGACCCTTCAGAGCTTGCCAGTGGAGATTCCTGCTGGTGCTGTGAGGCTGGCAGTCTATCCTGATGATCCCAGCCTGTTGGGCACTGATCACTTGGCAGCCTCCTACCCTGGTGAGAAAGCAGAAAAAATGGAATTTCCAGGCTTGTCGACGATCAGAAAGAAGCATACTCCCATCAGGAATACCCATTCTTTGGTGGTCAAAGATCCTCAGCTTTTCTTTGGTAACATTTTGTTTGCAAAAGTGTCAGGGCAGCACCATTGTTCAGTTTTGTATGCGTGGCTTAGCTCCATATATGCTTTTACTTCGACAGGACAAGCCTCATGGTCAACTTGGCCCTCAAGCTACACCAAATGTGCACCAGATTGCTTTGGTGGATGCCATGACAGCTTTTGCAAGCTTTGCTACCAATCTTCTTGGGAAAGGGGCACCTGACCCTCACATTCATATCTTCAACAGGTCACCATCATCAAAGGAGTCACTTGGTTCCAGCCACTCAGCACCACTGGCTTTGCAAGATGGAAAACCATCAGAGACCCAGCCTACACCGCAGGCCCAGGCTACACAGCAAGTGCAGCAGGACCAAAAGCCTGCACAGCAGGTTCAGCTGCCTCCGAAGAAAGAAGCAAGCACACCTTTGACTTTGGACAATGACAAGGGCAAGGAAGGAACCAAGACACATGAAGATTTCGAAGCAGAAGCTTTGCAAAAGCTGTTGGACAGGAAAGATAAGAAGGGTGCTGGGCAAACCAAAGGCTTGAAGCGACCTGCCAGTGCCAAAGCAAAGCCACCTGCCAAAGCAGCTAAGGTGAAGGCCAAGGCCAAGGCAAAGAGCAAGCCCACACCAGAGCTCCAAACTGGATGTGGGAAATGCAGAGGTATGGGGTGTGGCAAATGCAGGAACCCAGACTTCAAAGGCAAGAGGTACAGCAGGCAGCAATGGCTTACACTTTCGAAGCTCCAGAATCTCAAATGAAGATTGGAGCCACTTGGGTATTTTGTGATGTTCCCCCAACCAGGAGCATCCAAGGGGTTAGCAGCTAAAGTTGCTGTGGAGCACCTTCTTAAAGGTGACATCTTGGCTTCGCTGTGAAAATGATCTGCATAGCTTGGGCAATTTCAGTTTTGCACAGCTTCTACAAGCTTCTGGTTGCTCAGCTCTTACAAGCTAATGAAGTGTCTAGCTTCTACAACCTTAGTTTTTTGTTTGCCTGGAAGTTTTCAACAATTTCTTCAGCTGCACCATCTGCAGCCAAGTTCAGCTTCAAAAGCGATGAGTTCCCGCGAGGTGCCAACAGCCTGGTTCCAAAGATGGTTGGACAGGAAAGGTGACAAGACCTACTGGTTGTCAGGCTGGAAGATGGAGGCTGGATGTTGCTCAAAATTCAAAACTCTACAGCTGTTTCCCCAAGTCACAGCCACTGTTGCATGGGCCTTTGTTTTTTCAACCTGCTTGGTTGTGTCTTCAATGGAAATGCCAGTGCAGGCTGGGAGCACTGGGAACCACTTGCCACTTTTGTGAGGAGGGAAAGCGGAAACATGCAGCTCGCAGAGGCAGGTGTTCTGCAGACAGTGCGCAGGATCCAGGACAAGGTGGACAGTGGTGAGTGGCAGTAGCACCTGGCACTTGACTAGCTGGCTTGTGAGTGGCTGAAGCGAAATAAGTCTGGACAGGGTGGCCACTTCAGGCCTTGCATCTGACCCATACAGGCCCAGCCCATGCAGGCTGACCTTTAGCTTGTCCAAGCTACATTTTCAGCCTGTCCAGGCTCAGCTGGTCTGGGATTTGGCATTGAGCTTTCCTTCTTTCATGAGCACAGCTGGCTCATCCATGTTTTGCCTTGGTCGTGCTGCAAAATGTGGGGCCAAGACAACAGTTCTCATCATATGTGTTGGCAAATGTTGGATTTGAGTATGGAAGCAAACTTTTCATGTGGTATTGGAAAGAACCAGCTGCAGTTGCATAAGCATGGCTACTTTCTCATGAGCAATGGCCTCTGATGAGTCAAACCCCAAGAAGAGGAGAATCAGCGACTTGAGGGTTTCCATCCCCTTCTGTTCACAAAGTGCTTTAGAAGCCATATGCAAGGAGATTGCGAAAAATGGCTTGCCTGACAAGCACAAGAGGTTTGACATTTGGAAGGAGACCAAAGAGTTCCTGGAGGATCCAGCTATGTCAATGTATGGCCCTTTGTTCAAAAGAGTTGCAGCAACCACTGTGCAAGACTCAGAGCAACCAATCTTGTACCTCAACTTTTTGTCCCTGTTGAATGGTGCATTCAACAAAGGGGGAGCCTTTACAGATTTCATGCTGATGCTTCATACAGCTAAGGCTTCTTCTTCCATCACAAAGCCCTGGAAAGCAGTAGTGTATTGTGATGAAATGCACCCAGGGAACATGTTGAATTCAACAAGTCGAAAGGCATGGTGCTGCTATTTCAGTTTTTTGGAAATGGGAAATTTGCTAAGCAGGCCTGACATGTGGTTTTGTTTGTGCGTGGTGAGGACCAGTGAAGTAGGCAAGCTGCATGCAGGAATGAGTCAAGTGCTCAGACTCATTCTGGAAGATATTTTTGGAGATGGAGTGCCAGAAACTGGTGTGCGCCTGACATCACCCAAAGGCAGCTTGAGACTTCACTTCTCTTTGGATATGATCTTACAAGATGGCAGTGCTCACAAACACATATTTGCAAACCGGCAGGATGCAGGATCCAAACCTTGCTTTATTTGCAGCAACATCTTTTATTTGAGAGGTGGTGAAGAAGAGAATTGCAAGGTTTTCAAAAAATACACCAAATACCATCAGCTGCACATTTCCACAGATCAAGATGTGCTTGCCAGTTGGCAAAGGTTGGCTGACAAGTCAAAAGTTCTCTCTCAAACTGAATTCAATTTGCATCAGCAAGCAGCTGGTTTGACATACAACCAATATGCCCTTTTGTCAAGTCAGAAGTTGCTGTCATGTGGACTGTTGAGGCCAATATCACTGTATTGCTTTGACTACATGCACGGGATGTGCAGCAATGGCCTCCTGAACGATATCACTTATTTGGTTTTGGAAAGCATCCATACCTCTGGCATCAAAGTTTGGCAGGATATCAAACCTTGGCTTGACATCTGGGTTTTGCCCAAAGCTTACAAATGTGCTGTTGGACACCTCTTTGACACCAAAAACGTGGCCAGCCACAGGAAAGCACAGACTTTCAAGTGTTCAGCATCTGAGATGCTTTCCCTTTACAAGATTTTGCAATATTATCTTCAGGTGATGTTTTTGGCAAACAATGTCATGGCTGACCAATGTCAATGCTTCGTTTGCTGGGCTGATGTTCTTGACTATTTGGTGAGCATTCCTTTTATTGAGGCTTCACCTTCACATCTACTGTCCCTGGTTGAAAAATGTTTGGAGGCATCTGTCAAAGCAGGGTTTGGTGATGAGATGAAGCCGAAGCAACATTGGTCACTTCACTATGCAGACTGCTTGGCCAGGTGGTCTCAGCTGCCAGCATGTTGGGCTTTAGAAAGGAAACACAAAACTCCCAGGAAATATGGTAGTCTTCACTGCAAGCTTCAAACTTATGAGCAGGGTTTGCTGGCAGGTGTCACCATGGAACACCTGAACACGCTTGTGGGCAATGAAGACCTGTTCAAATCACAATGCCATTTGGTTGACCCTCAGGACCTTCCCAAGAGGTTGGAAGCCACCCTCAAGAAGATGAACTGCTTTGTGCCAGGAATGGTTAGCTCTGCAAGACAGGTGATGTAGTGTTCATGGAAAATCCTGGTGCCAGCATGTGGAGGTGTGGCCAAGCCAAACATTTTTTGAGCGCACTTGGCTTTCTGCTGTGCTTGGTGGATGTTTTCACATTTGTGGGGCGAAGAGAAGGCACAATCTCCAGCACATGGAAAAAATCACAAAGCTCCCTGCAGCTGATTGCTTTGGAAAATGTTTTACAGCCTGTGGCCCACACATATGGAAAGGATGGCAGCATATTATGTTTGTCTCCTGCACCCTTGCCGTGCCCAATGTGAAAAACATTGTGATTGCTGACATCGCACTCAGCCTTTACAAGCTGATTTTTTAGAGGCAGCCCATGTACAGCTCTTGCAAGCTCCACTTGTGTAGCACCTACATGCTGTGATGATTTGTTTCTTTTGCATGACCATTGAATTTTTGGTTTCTCCATGAGTTGCTAATGCTTCTGCAACATGGGAAACTAAGCATGGAACCGGCTACTTTTACCACAAGAATCTACATCACAATTTCCCAAAAAAGAAGAGGCTTGAAAAAGAGCGCGGCACTTGAAATTGGAAAAGCAAAGGTGGCAAAATGAAGAAATGTGACTCCTGAAAATCAAGGAAAACTGTTTCCCGCATGGTTTTGTCAAAATTTGGCATCTTTTTTTCTTATTTTTCTTTCTGGTGAAATCAGTTTAAACCTCCTGGTTTGATGTAAATTATCATGATTACTAAATATTTATAACCCTTTAGCAAATAGTTAGATAAGCATCTTAATCCTCCTAACCCTTTAGCAAAAGCAGCTGCTTCTAAGTGCACTTTTTTTTGGATCCCGAGGTCTGCGGACACAAAATCTCCATGCATCGTTCAGACCTGGCCATGCGGACCATGACGGACTTCCTGGAGGAGTTGGTCCTTCTAAGGGTCTGAGGCCATGCGGATTCGGACCATGAGGATCCTATAAAATCGAACAATGTGAACATGGCCATCGAAGAATCTTTGACAATTATATATGCATATATACACCATATATATATATACCATATATTATTTTATATATATTACATATACCACATATATATATATACATATGTATAGAGATGTAGAGATACCTCAATAAAACCATGACATGTTGGTGGTTCAAGCACCTACATCTGCAGATGCGTGCCATGTCGCAGGAGACGGGGCCTGCACATTGGACCAAAGACATGGAGGGCTTGGTCCAGGCCGCTCCGGCACTTCAAACAGAGCTGATGCGGTCGGCAATGGTGCAGTTATGGCCATTTATTACTTATAACTGCTTATTTCTATGGGATTATACATTCTATAAATGGGGTTTTGTTAGTACTTATAACTGGTATAACTCGGGCCATAACTGTGGTAAGTTGCCTGGATTTGCTGATGATTCTCTATTTTTCCAATGGGAATCCACTGGTGAATCGATTCAAGGAATATGTGATATTCTCAGTTCTCATTGTTCTTAAAAAGTTCGATGGAAGGTGCAATACTTGGGGGTTGTAACCATCAACAATTTGGTGGTATAATCCATCTCCGAAACACTCATTGCAGGTTTTCAAGTTGTTCACTTTGTTCAATCAAGTGTAGAATGTGATCGTGGCTACGGGCAGCGATTTGGCTGTATATGGCTGTAATGAACTTCAGGCCATTTTGGCACAAACACCGCCCCATCTGATCCCCTCTGATTCTGAGCCGCGAAACTGGCGAAAGCCTTTGCGCTGCCACACAAAGTGAGCCTGGTGCAATGAAGGCTGGAGAGATTCTTGGCCGATTTGGTGAATGTATCGAAACTTTGGTTCCTCAGAGATCAGCATATCACTCTTCAATACATTAAACAAGAATAACTTGTCTCTATATAGTCTAAGCTATGTGTTGATATGTCTATCGCATGTATATTATACTTATTACTTATAGTATGTTATAGTTTAATCATACATGCTGTATATGCTTGCAGATTCTGGTGCATCTCTATAGCCATTCCGATGTCACAACCCGCTGGTCAGCACGCCGAGGTCGCACAGCGTGCCCACGGTGCATTTCGCGGATCCACCGGCCTCCTGCGTCTCGGAGAAATCCGAAAAAAGCGAGGTCCTCGCGAAGGTGTCCCAGGTGCAGGGCGTTGACACCGACCCACGCGGAAGCAGAACTTCGGGTGATATGATAAAATATGTGTTTTTTTGTGGGATGCTCCATGTATAGAATATTTATCAACATTTACCCCATAAATGACCCAAATGTAGGTAAATATACCATACATGGAGCATATGTATATGGGGGGATGTATATAGGATATACCATGTTTGGATTTTAACGGGGTCTATATAGGATATAATTGGCGAAATCCGTGGGACTTTAACTTCCGTAGGTTGGGACATGGGGCCATATGGTATCCCCAAGTGGGCCGGGAAGACAAAACAACCACTATTGAACACCACCTCAGAATAGATGGTTTTGTGATGTTGCCCATTTTCTTGAATTAAATAATTTGCCCAGAAGATCGGGAAATTCGTACATCTTGCACAAATACCCACAAAACTTCAAGATGAACATACATTGGAAATTTAGCTCCTAGGCTTGGGGTTGAATATGGGCCCAGTGTTGGCGAGCGAGCTAGGCCAAGGGTACACCCTGGCACGCCTGACATGGAACTTCAAAATAACCAGGGATCAGATATACCAAGAATTGAACATTGAAACTAAGGACTCCAGATAAATGCTAGGACCCCAATATATATATAATTATATATATAAGTGGTTGGTAGTTTGGAACATTTTTCCCATATATTGGGCATAACACTCCCAACTGATTATTTTTTCAAAGGGGTTGAAACCACCAACCAGATAATGACAACACTTATCAAGATTCATGTGTGGCGGTTCCATACGCCGGCTCATTCAGGATTCTCCCCCTTGATTTGCCTTCTCGCAGGGCAGGAACAGGTTTTGAACCCCGAAGGTCTCACAGCCCAGTACTTCAGCAGGGTTTACTCACTTTTGCGCGCTTTTGACTTAGTTCATTTTGTTTCCCATCCTACGGATGATTATGATGATGATGATGATGATATTATTTTTCATGGGCCTTTTTTTTGACCAACACCCAGCCACAACAACCGTTTATTTCGCGTCGTCGCGCAGTCATGCTGGGAGGTTCATGAGAAGCCGCTGAAGGGGCCACCCATTGCATCCATTTGCAAACTGTTTTCGCTGGTAGATTTTAAGGACCTCATGCTCGGTGATTGGGGTGATGGGTGAGTAGCACTAAACCGCTACGAACTGATTATATTTGTAAATGATCTAATACTGATGTAGACACATAGGGATACTTTAGGGCTTTGTTATTAGATCGATTTGCTATACTATTACTGTCGGATCGGAGATATAATCACCAAGCCGAGGGCCCATGGCGATATGGGGATTTGAAGATTCAATCAACAATAATGGGAATTATGTAATGGGATGTAACGGGTGGTCGAAAATCAAATATTTCTATGGCTATCTCACAAAAGTTGTAGGATTTGAAAATATTATAGTGGTAATAGCGAATTGTTGCAATAGTGCCATGCATATACTAGTGGATAAATTAGTTGAGGTCTAAACAGGAAATAAATTGACCAACAACAATAGGAATTAAGTTGAAGCGACACCAATAGTAGTATAGTGGAGACATGATAAAACATAGTAAGTCAAAGCCGCTTGGTAGTAGTATAATGAACTGTTTTATAGTAATAGGGTGGTAGTACAATATGCAATTGAACCGAATAGGTGGCGAGTAATGGTGATATATCACACAAGTTACTATAACTATAGTAATGATCTTGTAAGTAACAACTAGTTACTATAACTAGTAATAAATGGGGGGGTATGTTGCGAGTAATGATCTTGTAAGGTTTGGTTTCCGTGGACATTCTGGTGGAGCGAAGAACAGCATGTCACTGTTGTGAGATGTATCGCTAGCATCCATGTTATTAGTTTAAACTATACTACTACTGTATCTCCAATATATTTGCATTATGCAACCATTCTGGTTGGTTAAATCTCCATATATGCGCGGCTCAGCAATCGTCTATTATTAATTACGATGATATGATTTTATTAGTTGCTATGACCCATGTTTTCGTCCAATTGTCTATACTAGTAATCATTCTAGTTGGGTCATGGGTAGTAATGACTATGATATTAGTGATACTGGTCAGATGAATGGGGTATCAACGGGTGATCACATCGTTCACTTCAGTTTTATTCACCATAATTCAAAACTGATTTACCAACGGATGATAATATGACTGTGTATTAGGTATTTTTATAATAACAGCATCCAACTATCATATACAAATAAAATATAACTAGCATATCGAATATAGCTGTTATAACAATAAAATGATGTAATTATATATATATAATAAATTGATAATTTGATAATATAAGAATATATCAATTTAATAGTGCAGCAGTAACTATGATGATAACTATAGTAACCCATTTAATATCACTAATAATAACTGATATTAATATTGTTTGAGATAGACCAACTATAAAACTAAAATCCCAGTTGTCAAAATAAAACATAACTATTGGATGTTAACATGTTTACACAATATACTACACGTATATATCAATATATATATATCAATATATATATATAAATATAGTATAATGCATTGTGTCAAAAGTAGGATTTAATTATGCTAATTAACTAGGATTACTATATATAATTCACTACTAATCCTTCAGTAATATTACGAATCCTACAAGGTTTTCTTTAGTACTATTTTTTTACTAGTCCTACTCATATGCCACTCAACAAATCTCATCATCATCATCATAATCATCATCATAATCATCATCATCACCATCACCATTACCATCACCATTATATGACTATTATATATATATATAATCATAACCATTATATTGTGGTGTTTTTAAAATGGGGGGGTCCTCAAAACCATACGTTTCAATACTACAATTGTCTAATTTTGGATGATTTGGGGGTACCCCCTTTTAGGAAACGCCAATATATTATCATTATCATCATCCATCATTTTCATGATCATCATCATCATCACCAGTATACCACCATTATATGACCATTATATCAATATAACTACCATTATATGGGGGCTTCTTAAAATTGGGGATCCCAAAACCATACGTTTCAATACTACAATTGTTGAATTTTGGATGATTAGGGGGTACCCCCATTTTAGGAAACGTCCATATATTATCATGTTCATCATCATTATCGTTATCATCATCACCATTATATCACCATTATATGACCATTACCTCATCGAATCATAACCATGTTGACTATGCCAAAATCATCATCGTCCCTGGTTCTAAGTAAGAACCGTCCAATGGTCATATAATGGTGATGATTCTCCGCGTAACCATATCACCAATCCTCCACCATCATCATCATCATCATCATCACCATCATCATCACCATCATCATCATCATCATCCTCATCATCACCATTATATCACCATTATATCACTAGAACCATATCACCAATCCTCCACCAGGAGTCTCTGATTCTCCTCCTCGGTCTCCTTGGCGCCATCGGCAACGGCGTGACGCAGCCCGTGGTGCTGGTGGTCTTTGGGGATTTGATCGATGGCATGGGCTCCAGTTCGGTGCCGGCTCCGCGGCAGAAACAGTGGCTTTAAACGTTTAAAGCAGAGCAAAATGGGGTGAAAACCATGGAAAAAACCATGGGAAAACCATGGGAAAATCAAGAAACATCAGGATTTGTTGACTTTTGTTGGCGAAGTTGCTCGAAAATCAGGGTTCGACGTGTCAAAAATGGGAGTGACATGACAAAATCTGGGGAATTTCATCCGATTAGAATGGACATGTTTGAGTTACGTACTACCACGAAGAGCGTACTGACAGGTTTCTCAGTTTTACTGTGTGATGATGTTTGAACGCATTTAATATTATTGTGTTAGTATAAAAGATAGGTGTGTGGAACATAGATGAACATAGTGGAAGTACAAAAAACAAATTACTTTGCTTCGAGTGATCCCCACCATGACATTTCAAAACAGCTTGTTGACACCACTTTTGTCTGAAGCTTTTGTCACGGGACTTTTGCCCAACTAACTATCCCAATCATTTGTTTCACCTGTCAGGTCATTTGTAGTAACTTGCTGTAAGATGTTGCCTGTCTCAAGCGTCTTTGCAAACAGCTCCAAAGGTACAGAAGTGGAAATGTCTCTGTCCACCCCAGTGACTCTGTCATCTGTCCAAACTGATTGCTTCAAACTTTGCCACCTGCAAAGTAAGAAGTGGCATTGCCCCGGTCACTCTACCACACACGCGCGAGTTTGCAAGTGATATATAACATACTTGTCTGACATTCTTTCTAATTTCTTCTGCGCATTCTTTGTCCCATATCTTCCTACATGAGGTCCGGCAGGGAACACTTGGCGTGGATACTCGCGGTTGAGGTCCGGCAGGGAACACTGGGCGTGGATGGTCGTGGTTGAGGTCCGGCAGGGAACACTGGGCGGGGATGGTCGTGGTTGAGGTCCGGCAGGGAACACTGGGCGTGGATGGTCGTGGTGGAGGTCCGACAGAGAACACTGTGCGTCGAGGGTCGCGGTTGAGCAGGAGGAGGAGGAGGAGAGGAGAGGAGGAGAGGAGCAGGCAACTGACATAAAATCTAACAACCCTCACCTGGCAGGTGGGGAACAAGCGAAGACTGGTAGCCGTTGTCATACGCCAGGCCTTGTACAATCAATTGCCATTTCAGGATCCTAAAATGGAGGTACTGTACCACACCAAACCATATTTCGGGGATATATCCCTCTACATAGCCCTTACATAGACCTTAGCCTTATATATGGTAGGTACCTTCGAAAAATCCCTGAGTCCTGGCCATTGATCTCAGGTAGAGCTACCTGCCAACGTCACACCTGAGCAGATGGCCTTGTTGATGGATGATGCAATGGACGGCATGATGAGCGAAATGGACACTTGACGGGGTTCAAGGTGACCCAAGGGGGCCATCACTGGCGTAGCCTTGCCATAATCCAGAAAATACACTAATTATGCAGTGTATATGGGGTTTTCCCGAGTCATGGGGGTACCCCTAATTATCATCAAATGACATTTATATCTCTTTGGGGTTGCTACACTCACGTCATGTGATGGAAAAAACAGCGGAAACCGTTTTTAGCCCAGGAGCGGCTGTGTATCATCATGTGTCTCATTGGCGTGGCCAACACTGTGGCTGCAACCCTTCAAGGCCAGGGTTGTGGTGTGCAGCTGTACAGGTTGTTGTTCCAACATCAATGCAGGGTTAACCTTGTTTCTCTTTGGTAGGTAGATAAGTAGATAAGATAAATCTGGATAGATGAATCATCCCATCCCTCCTCCCTACTAAACCTCCCCCCAAAAACATATCAAAACCTCTGGGTAGAAGGGATTAGATGAGCACTTACACTTGCAGCAGTGGTTCCCAATGGAGATCCCAGTCGTCAAGGCGCCTGTTTCAAGATCTTCAGCGACATGCAGTGCCCCGGCGAAGGTGGAGATTCAGCCACATGGGGGGAGCTACACCTATCGTGGGACCCACGAGATAAGAAGATACAGGTGACGTGGGTGACTATATCTAATTATAGTCATTCCCAAATAGATGTTTTTTTTGTAAATCCCTACTAATTTGATGGTGATCTACTTTTCCATCTGGGGATGACTATCCATGATATGGCTCTGAATCAATACCCATAATTAAATATTAAATACCATTAATATAGGGAGATGAACATCAATTTACTAGCTATTTTGGTGTTCACCAGGGGTACAGGGTTTCGACCCATATCCATATAACTATCACTAACTAGGATATGTGGTGAGCATATCATATATCTGAATCAGTTTGAGAATTGTGGGTTGAACCCCAAACATGGGTGTGCAATGAACGAACATCTTGTTGCGGACCATACAGTCCAGTGGGGATAAACGGAATACATGGATGCGACCGATGAGCAAACTTGGCGTGACAATGCCGAGCTGTAAGATTCTGAAAAAAACACTTCCTGTGCATCAGACATAAGGATTGCAATTTGCAAATGGTAGGTTTTACATATTATATATATATATGTTCCATCTTATGTTTTATTATATCTTATTGTATGATCTTATATTATATTGCCATTCCATGCGACATCCAGCGGAGAAAAAAATCGATGACTGCACGTCGCAACATCTCCCAACTCCGTGAATCCATTCCCAAGGACCAAAAAGTATCGCGTTTTGTACTTCAAGAGCGTGCTTTTCCAGGAGCCAGTGCTGATTTCCCCGTGTCACACGTTTCCAAACCTTGCGCGATTCCAGCGGGGCCCCGGTTTCCGATGTTTGTTGCTGTCTTGGTTGCATGTTTGGTAGTGATATCCCCCCGTTTGGGTTTAGCCTTATGGTTCGATGGGTTTGATCTCCAGATTTTGGCTGGCTCAACCCCCTCTATGCTGTTTGCCCCGCGCCGCAATACAATTTTATGGTTTCTTGAGCGCATTTTGTTATATATGTGTTTTGTTTGGTTCAACCACCATTGCTGGAAAAAATGACCTTAGTCCTCCCTGATTCACGGTCACTCCACCCGTGAGAGAGCCACTTTTTTTAGCCCCAAAATCGAGGGTCAGATTGAACTGCCTCAGTCCTGGCTACTGTAAACCCCATGTAAACGGTGCAGCCATCACATGTCTTGGTGAGTTTTGCCTCATGTCTTGGTTGGTTCAGGCCAGCGTGCTGGTGGGTTAAAAACTACCTCGAGTCCTCGAGGTTTGTTGAGGTTGATTTTGATGGTTGGTCCCACCCCTCTCCCAGGTAGAAATGCTTAGGGTAATGAGCCATCCGCCAAAATATGTCTGGTTGGTGGTTTCAAACATGTTTTATATGCATAATATATGGAATAAATCCTTCCCATTGACTAATATTTTTCAAGATGGTTAAAACCACCAACCAGATGTTTTTTCATGTTTTTCCTAATTTGACAATTGCACTTCACCCCGTCCTTTGGTGAACCTTGGAAGGGAAGTTGACTGAGTACTTTCATTGTTTATCATATTTTCCATTAATTTCCTTAAAATGGGAATATAGAAATATAGCGAAATAGTATATGGCCGAGTACGTCATAGAAACATTTGAAATGATATATATATACATATATACAGTATATGATATATATATATACAGTATATGATATATATATATGTGTGTGTGTGATAGTATGACCTAACCAGCTAGCCTCCGGTTATTGAACATACCTATGGAAGCCATGGCCCATGAACACAGATGATAAGCATCATGATTTACCCAACATGATGATTTTCCATCCGTTCAACCGTTAAAAAATACCAGAGATGTACCCTCTGGTAAACTAACATAACTATGGAAAATCACCATTTATAGTGGATTTTCCCATGAAAAATGGTGATTTTCCATGGAAGCCATGGAAGCCATGGACCATCGCCAGGACGTGAGCTGGTTCGACCTCAAAGAAGTGGCGGCGCTGCCCTCGGAGATCAACGACGACTTGGAGCCGCTGAACGAGGGAGCTGTTCGGAGCTGTTCGGAGCCATTGAGTACCCTCTGGTTATGTCAAAATAGCTATTGAAAACGACCATAGACATAGTGGATTTTCCCATTAATAGCATGGTGATTTTCCATAGCTATGTTAAATTACCAGAGGGTATCTATTTGATGAACTTTCCGAGCCTATTGGGGCCGCAAAAAAAGGTCCCCAACCACATTGTAGTAATGTAAGGTTATATAATGTTATATACCTATACCCACTATAAATTGATCTAAATTGTTAAACCTACTTAGCAGGGAAGCTGGGAACCATTCACTAGGGGATTTGCCAACAAAATATTGATTTAAGAGTGGTTTAATCATAGACTATTTGGTAGATATGATTCCATTCTTGTCGTTTGCATGCTACTTGGAATCGGTTATATCCAGCAAATCCGTGATTAATTTTGCAGAAAGGGGTTATTTGGAGGATACACATGGGTTTTGATATGTTGTAACTATGCTTATGAACACATTGGTGGATATTGTTGGTTCTATCTCTACTACCTCTCTATATCCCCAGTTTGCATCAATTCGTTTTTGGTGAAACCAGCGTTTGTGATGTTTGAACCCTCAAGTTTGCTGGCTGTACCCTCATTAAATACAAGAAGCACTGCAGGTTTTTGTTGACTTTGTGTTGGGTACTGTAGCTTAACAGGCTCATTTTTCTAGCCATTTATGGGGCACACGACTTATATCATTCCAGCTATTAGTTTCGCAGGGTATCTACGACTAACACGCATTTGCTATTTTTTTGTGACAGCCACATCAAAATTACAAACACCTGTCCGAGTTGGTTGCCTTTACTACTGCGGTTTTACTGGCCCAGAGCCTTCCAATTGGTGCATTTCGAGTTTCTGACATTTAAAAAAGAATAAGTGTCATGGAGCCTTGATTATTGGAGGAAGAATCTGAGTCTGGTTTCTTGGTTTGTTTATTTATACATCCCATCACTGCTGTCCAGGAAGATTGGCGATGCCCTGGGGGACAAATTGGGCAACGGCATCATGTCCTTCAGCGCATTCGTGGGCGGCTTCGGATGCGCGTTTGGCCTAGGCCACTGGCTAGCATCGCAAAACAGGTCGCAGCAAAAAAGCAATGGGTTTCCTCGGGTTGTATAGGTTTTTTGTGGTGAAAACATGTAAAAACAATGTAAACAACATAATCGAAACAGATGGGCATGGCATTACAATTGCGAGTTTGATGTGCTTCTGTCATCTTTTGCATTATTATGTTTATTATTTGCATCATTTTCAGAGATAACATCTCCATATTGAAGCTGGTTGAAGCTAGCAATGGGAATCTGCCTATGATCATGGGGAGGTTTGTTATATTCCACCCCCACCTGAGTCTGGAATGTGGATCCCAATTGACTCTGTTTTGTTCAAGATCCTGAAAGGAAAGCTTGAACAATGGGGATTGAAATTGAAGCTAGAAAACAGTGAGTGTGAGCTTCAATCAACAAAAATGGAAACACACCGCCCCTGTTTCGGTCCCCAAGATTGACACGTCCTTGTTTCGGCCCGAAAATGAAAACTGCAATACGTTCAACATGGTGTTCAACCAACGTTGTTGGAGGGTCTTCATTCTTGGAGGAAGGGATTTCTAAGTTGTTTTTTTGGGTGGTGGGGATAGTTTATTGAACATGTACATATTATATATATTTTCCAAGGACGGACGCTCACTTGCGCTATGACTTTCTTTCATTTTTGGTGACCACAGACTCCGGGTCCGGTCCGCCCAAGGTTGGTTGGTCGCGCTGGTGATGTGTGCCATGATGCTGGGCAGCACTGGTGTTGCGTTGTCGGATCACAGAACCAGCGCTGGATGCCACAGTTTCCACTGTCGTCAGGTTGCCTTTCATGGGCGTTGGTGCGGCTGTCATGGGCAAGGCTGTTCAAGAGATTCAACTCGAGTCACAGAGTCCCTTGCGTTGTACAAAACGCGAGAGCTCGACTGAAGTTACGCGTGTTTTTTCAGCAACTATGTTACATGGAGGTTTCCTAAAATGAAAAAACCCAAGTCACCAGAGGTTTCCAAACTAAAATGGACTAATGGCTTGAATGATTTGGGGGGGTACCATGGGGTACCCCTATTTGAGGACCCCCTATGTATATGTTTGTTTTGTTATGTACATCTTGTAAATATGATAGAAACTATGCATATTTATAGTATTTATACAGAGATATATAAATCTATACATATGTGAGCAACTTATATATCCAAATCGACGAAACTCACCCTTAAAGGAACACTTTTGACAGGGGACCATTGGCTCATCGACACTCGGTTCCGCGGCGGCTGACGATCCCAGGTTGGTACTCCAAGGCTGCCTGTGTCGTTGAAGAGCCATGGCAATGTGTATACTGCAGTGGGATATCATGGTTATGCGTAAAATGTTAAAAGAAACATATAATATACATATACATGTACACACAGAATAACTAAATATATGAATATATAATTATTGCATGGTGTTACATTGGTGGCTTTAACAAGCAAACAACACGGGTGTGGAAGCAACACAACTCACAAGCACTTTGTGGCTGGCTTCTGACGCTGTGTTTGTTCTCCTCATGCGACCTGAAATCACTGGGTACTTTGCCCTCCTGGCAGCTGGCATTGAAGTTTATCTAATTCCTTTTGAACGGGGAAGATATGAGGAATTGCTGGAGTTTCCCGGTCGCTAGTTGCCCAGATGGCGATTTGTCCCACTTGCACTTCCATCTTCCGGGTTTATTTCTGAATATGTCGCAGATTTATTTGACACAGAGTTTTTCAGGGGTGCTTGCGGAATCTTGCAGGCCACTATGATGGGTCGCTGATATAAACTTGCTTGATAGTCAGAGGCTCCTGTCCGGCTCAGGAATGCCTCTATGCCATGCGCACCGTGGTGGCCTTTGGAGGTGAACGTCGGGAACTGCAGAAGTTGCTCGGTCGAAGATGCGGTAGGCGACGCTGATAGTGTTCATCAATGGCTTGGCTTCAGGGAAAAAAATCAGGAAACCCCATGAACCCCCTATATTTCATAGGAAAACGCATGGAAAAAGCATAGATGTTCGCTTCAATCCATGGTGTGAAAAAGAACCAGTTGTTTTAACATCATGATCCTTGAAACTCAGGTTTCAATTTGCGCTGGTCCAGACTCGGCGTGGTGGAATCCGAAACGGCTTCAAGATTCTTTGCTGATCAGCACCAGAGTTGCCGATAGAAATCCACGGATTACGTGGCTATGGCTCCTTGTGAAGAATGTGTATGGTGTTTTTTGTTGAAGCACAGGCCCCAAACTGAGACCCTACACTGCAGTCTTAACCTTTTCTTTGAGTTTGGACCTGCCTTATTTGACTGTTCGACCCATGCTTGATGCTGTTCACAAATGTGCAGTGTGTGTGAAAGGCATTCTCTTGGAACGCATGAAGCATGGCAGACGCGTCTACCTTGTTGCAGACCCATCACAACTCTTCACAGCTCGCGCCCCAGAGCGACATGTAACCCAATATTGTTTGGGCTAAGATAATTTCTAGTAACCCCCCAAAAAGATAGGAAAGATAATTATAGTTTCTATCCTTTTGGGGGTTTACCATATGGTATGATCATTAAATATTATATATCGCTATTTTGTTGGACCCAGCCATTCTGGACAAAACCAGGTCATCTCTTGGGAGGTGAAATTTAGGCCTAAAGAATAGGCCTTATATATGGTAGGTACCTCCAATTTAGGTTCCTGAAATGGCCATTGACTAATATATATATATATATATAGGTACATTATAACGACCGAACCCTGTTCTCCCCAACGCTGGAATCATGGTGTATAGGAAATCACCCCCAAATGGCCTTAAATTAGTGAAATGTTCTAATTTACCCAGATTATATATATATATATACGCGATTATACGCGTACATTCGTATACATACAGAATAGATTATAATACCGTATAAAGTATAATATGTATAATTAGCAATGTTTGTAACCACTTCTTTTTTAAGGATCAGTTGATCAGTTTAAAGTGCAAGTGCTGGATTTGACCGCATAAGACCGCATATCAGCATTTTATCCTTCTCCATGATGTTTATTTATTGTATGGTCCGCAAAAAGATGCCGAAAAGGGTTTCCAGGGTCCAGGATCTGAAATCAATTGTGTTTTCTCCACATTTCCAGGTTCCTCTAATTTTCGGTATCTATTAGTGGCGTACCCACGTATTCCACTTATAGAAAGCTATACATGATTTCGCTCCTGTAATCCAACACGGCAATGGCAAATCAACCATTCATAGTTGATGTTCCAACTATGTTCTAACCAGCACCTCCATTTAGCTTGGGGATTTGTTTGATGACCGCTAGTGCTTTCCCATGCTTTACCTCTTAAACATCTATAGGTTTGTCCGTTTTTCCCAAAGAAAATAAACAAAATCCACCAGGATAGGCCTCGGCTTGGGCTACACCACCATGATCATCTTCGCCGGCAACGCTCTGGCCTTTTGGTTTGGGATGACTTTGCGCTACAACGACCAGGTAAACCCGGCCACCGGGCGACCCTGGGAACCTGGAAATATCCTGGCCATCTTCTTTTGCGCCACTTGGATGGAAAATGGGTGATTTTCCCAATAGAAACTCTATCTCTAGATGATAATCCCCTTAGAATCCGTAAGTCTAGATGATTTTCCCATTAGAATCCCTATTTCTAGATGACGTCCCCGCTACAATCCCTGATTCTAGATGATGTTCTCTTTGAAATCATCGATGATTTTCCCAGTACATCTTCAACAGCCAGGAGAAAGCATGGTGGATTTAGGGGATTTACACATATTTGGAACCAAACAAATACAGGGTGTTTAATTCTAGGGAGATGGGACTAACATTATTTATGAAATATCGATTTCTAACTGCTACTAAATATAATATATGGCCTATAAATGGATATTATATGATGGAGCGAAGAACCAAATGGAGATATGATCTACTAAATTGGACATCAATATAGTAGTAACTACAAACTTTTATATGAAGGAATCTCCCCACTCAAATGTGGTCTATAAATGTACAAACCACTTAGGATTCCTGGGTTGCATATTCAAGTCGGCGCGTTGGATTTTGCAGCTGTGGAATCACAGGCAACCCTGAAGAGAAACTTTGCTTAGACATTTCATCACTTGCATGCACCTTATAAAGAGATTAAAACGCCTACTAAAGCCTTCAAAGCCGCTTGGGTTCTCCTGATTGCAATTCGTGTTTTCGACACTTGTCCATACTTGTGCCCAACCAAGAAAGTGGGTCTTCAAAATCACTTCAGTCGCTGGCAGAGGTCTTCACTGGGAGTTTCATGATCGGCAACCTGGACCCTTCGCTGAAGGCCCTTGCGGCCGCGCGCTTTGCGGCCGGCCGCTTCTTTCAGGTGAAGGAGAACCGCCCGCAGGCGAGGGTGACCCGATTTGGGGTGCAGTGAGATTGATGATATACCATGATGTACCTACGAAACACGATGAGTTTCCATAGTTGTGTTAAATTACCACAGGCTATTGGGCCAATTTTGTTGGGGTGAAACAGGAGGGGCACCATTTTTGTGTTCACGTGCAAATGGATGTGTAGATTGCTTAGGATTATTTAAATATGGTGGCGAGCCTTTGAATGACAGCTATAGAGTCTATAGTTGGATTTACGTTATTGACATCACAATTTGACTTAGATCTTAAGGGGCCCCTTTGTTTCATTCTGTAAGTAAAGTGGGTGTTTCTCAGTGTCCTGGTTTGGCACTCTTGGCATTTCATGGGCTGGGAATAGCTGATGTTCGCTGATAACAGCCGTAAATGGATGCAACTGGTGAATTTAAGGGATTTGTTTTATACAATACCCTCTGGTAATTTAACGTAGCTATGGAAAACCACCATGCTATTAATGGGAAAATCCACTATTTCAATGGCAATTTTCAACAGCAAACTGTTAGTTTACCAGAGGGTATCTTTTTCTCCACATGCCAACAAAACAACCGATGTCCTTTTCCGATTATGGTGCTGCAGGTCGGTTGATTGTTGGAACTCCTGCACGCTTATGCTCTTATTTTACCATCTGAAAATGATCCCACTTGATGCAACTACCATCTGGTAAAATAGAAAAAACATGGCAAATGATCAATTTACTTCATAATCATAGAGGATTGACCATGGTTTACCCTTTATAGAATTTTTACTGGTTTACCGGACTACCTTTATAGAAATCCGCCACAGAGGTGCAGTGTGGAGACGTGGACGGACGGAAAGACCTCGAGTCCATCGAGAACTTTGAGCTCCGCGAGGCGGGTGAAAGAAAGGGTAGATCAGGCCTGGGGTGAAAGAAAGGGGAACGATATATGGAGAAGCAGCAACATATAGAGATAACTGATCGAAAAATGGAGGGATAAGATGGTATAACTAGCAAAATATATATAGGGATAACCCATGGAAGATGATGGTTTTATGGGACATGATTGGGGACTTAAGCATGTAACATGGGAGTATCATAGAGTATCATAGGAATACAATGGTAGTAAACACACACACATATATATATATATATGTATCCATCTATATACATATACGCATATATGAGGATGAAGATACAACCAATGATGATACTGGCCGGTGGGTTCAAATAATATATGCAATTTTGAAGATTGTTCAAAAAATGGGATGATTGCCTCAAGGACTTTCACATATGTTCAGGGGTTGGTTCGGTCATCCAGCTCAGATCTTTAGGTGCTGAAATAAGAGGGGTTCAACCGTGCACAGGGGTTGGTACATACCCCAGCTAGGTGATTTTGAATGATTTTAAAGAGCACTTTCTGATGTATTTTCATGATGTGATATGCTTAGTGGTAGTATGTGGTAGTGATTCCCCTGATGGTTTTGTTTGTGATGTTCAAGTGCGACAGCCATCAAAAAGGTGGGGAAATGGGATGGACTGATGGTTTCCAACTGATTCAAGTAACCTTTCCCTGGTCATATGATAGGTAGATAGATAGATAGAACAATAGATTGATTGATCAGTAGATAAATAAATAGATATAGATAGATAGTTAGATAGGTAGATAGATAGATAGATATATATATATATATATTATATATATATATAGATATTATATATATATACATACATAGATATAGTAGAGAGAAAGAGAGAGACAGCGAGACAGCAAGCAACCACCAAAAATATAGGAAAGTGTCTCCAGGATGGCAGTTATATTTTTTGGGGGGTGACTATATCTTGTATATACTGTGAATGCCCCCCCACACGGGGCTGCAAATCATGAATCGATCCTACTGACCCAATAGTAAACCAGAGTATCGCTTGAGTGTATTTGACTTTCAGGGGTGGGATTGTTTTTTTTGCTCATGAGGAAAAATAGGATCGAGATGGATCAAGATCAAAAGTTGGTTTTTATTTATTTTTTGGGATGTGGTGAACCGTGAGCCCCCCAATTCAGAATATAGACATAATATGGCAGCTCAACGAAGGATTGCTGATTCTGCAAAAATGTTAGTATAGCAATATTAAACCATCCCCCACTTTACAATAAAAGGTTGGCATAGACCATGAAAACGTGGGTGGGTTGGTTTATGATTTCGTTACTAACAATAGTGGGGACCATCATCTGAGAGCTGAAGCCCCAACACTATCCTGAAGTAAAGTTCAAGGGAACATCAAAACCATCAAAACCAAAGTGGTCAATGAGTCAATGGTCATAGTTTACCATTGCTTAAAGGATCACTCCCGATTTACGGATCACCAAACCCAGAGTTTCCTGTAAGATGTCCCTTCAATCAATCCATTGAAATGCCCTTTCCAACAGCGTAACAAGCTCCCCTCGACGTCACACTATCACCAGAAATGACGATAGGCTTAGTAAAAGGGAGCTTTTGTTGGCCTTTTTTTCCCCCCATCCTCTGTTTTTCCTCCTTTAGTGGCTTGGTTTTCCAAGGTGCATTTCAGCTATCCTGCTCGACCTGACGTGAAGATCCTGAACGGTTTGTCCCTGGAAATTTCGCGTGGCCAGAAGGTGGCCGTGGTGGGCGAGAGCGGCTCTGGAAAGAGTGCCTAGGTTCCACATGGTTCCACGACTTGTCCACCTTGGCGACTAGTCCCAGTGCAGTGTTACAAACCTTTGGTGATTAATGGTTGCTCTATCCAAATTATATATATATTTATAAACATTGGGTTATGAGTTATGAGGCTTTGCTATGATATTCTATCCAGCATATTGGGGGTAATCACAGTCCATGTCAATTGACAATTCCCAATTGCCAACCGGGCGCTCTATAGATCTCATGGTAATTTAAGAGTTTGCCATGGTAAATGACCAATTTGTCTCGATGATTTGCCAAAAAAAAGCATGACCTTTTGTTCCGGGGCTAGGTTCGATTAATTACCAGAGGGTATTTAGTATAGCTGCATTGAACATGGATAATACGTTGACATTTTACGACATTTTAATTTCTCATGAGTTTTCATTGCTAGACCAAATTGCTGGAGGGTGAATTGTTGGTATTGGTGGCCGGTGTTCCTGGTGATCAGCCTAGCCGCTAGCCCCATCCCAGATGCAACATGTGTGCCTAAAAGTGTCCAAAGTGGCATATGTGAAAATTGAGTACGCCCAAAATTGGATAGTCAACGCGAAAGATTACAGAAAACTGTAACTGTGGGTTTTCTGATGGTTTTATATAGTTCTTCTGTGATTATTTGCCTCTAAAGATGTCATTCTGCTTTCCCCGTGGGTTTTCTCGGGCGAGGTACTGTGATGGCATTGCTGGAGCGGTTCTACGATCCAAATTCAGGTGGGGACCCGGGAGATACCGACAAGGACCCTGAATGGACTAAAATCCTGGGTGGTTTGGAATGGTTTGGAACATGTTTTATGACTTTCCATTCAGTTGGGAACTTCATCATCCCAACTGACGAACTCCATCATTTTTCAGAGGGGTAGGTATACCACCAACCAGAATCCCGTCATTTTGTACTAGGATGTACCAAGTGAAGGATTCGCAATCTGGATCTGTGTACACCGTGCCGATCTTATCGCCGGTGTTTGTTTCTCTTTGTTGCCTTCCGCCTGGGCTCGTTCAAAAATTCAGTTGTGATTTTAGAGTTGTGCGAATTGTTTGCCATTGAAGTTTATACACCATATAACCTTCACTATCCTTCACTTGGTCAACGTATGTAAACATATGTAAACGTCAAAGATCACTCGGTGGCCAACTTTTAAGGTTACTTCCCGCGGCTACGTTGAAATCCTGAGGTTTGGTGTTGGTGAACGGGCAAGACATGAACTTCAAGGCAGCTTCGCCGGGGTCGTCGGAGTCCCGTGACTCGAGTCATTGGCAATTTTTCTCGACTGGTAATCTGCTCAAGATAGCGCTTAAATAGGGATATAATTATGCCGCTATCATATTCAAATTACTCCTCTTATCATGTATTTTCACTCGAGATCACACAAGTGATGATTAGACTACCCAGGTCTTATCATCGAGGCATTTTTTCTGTTTTGATTGTCGATGCCCGCTTTATGAGGCTTTCAGTGGTAGATATAGCACCATGAGATTTACCACCATATCAAAAATTAAACGCTTGGTTTGAGATGTTGGGGGTGGATCAAAAGCAAACATGTGTGAATCACAACTTCCCCCCAGGTCCCCGCTATTTTAGGGCTCTGGGTGTCTTCTAGAGGTGAGCGCTTTGAGACGCTGTATTGGCTCCTTGGAAAAAAATGTGTGGTTTAGTCATGGGACCAAAGATCCGGTCCCCAAAATCGTTGGTTTCTTTCATGGAAAATCCAGATGAAGTGGATGATAGCTGGGGGCTAACCCCCTGGATTGGAAACCTGCATAGAATTGCGACGGACACTGGTGGCCAAACATCCATGCTGGTGCTGGGGAAAAATTCAGGACCTCACCTTGTTCTACCGAACCCTGGAATGATGGTGAATGTTTTTAGGGGAAGTATTCCAATATTTGCCGAACTTTTCAGGTTAGTGAATCATTATAGCGTATCCAGATTCATTAAATAAGTACTTGGGGGGTGCAGTTGAAGAGGTTAGACATGGATATACCATGGCCGTTAACATTCACAAATTGGGATATGGGGCCCCTATACCTATGGTTTATATACCCACTTAGAAGTGGAACTGCACTTCTAAGTATAGCTTTGCTGTATCATTGGGCATATTTTCATGGTAAAAAAACACGCCTGGCGTTTTTGGAACTGAAAGCAGGCACGGAATCCCAGTCGCGTGAGGTTATGTGGGCCAGGAGCCGGTCCTCTTTGCAGGCTCCATCCATCACAACATCATGCAAGGCGGGGATTGGATGGAGCCATTGCAGGGGGTTGTTGCTTTGTTTTGTTCCATTTCCAGCGCTTAAAAAGAGATACCACATGATACCATTGACCTAAACGAAACCCTGGCTTTGTATTGGATGTGTTCATAAATCATGTTTGGGGGCTAGTCACAGGGAGGTATTTCATATGATTGGGGGGAAAGGGATTTCCCTTTGTTACTCAAACATGGCTTGCTGGAAAATCACCCATGTAGTTCGAAGTTTTTCCCAGTCATCGATGTTTGATTCATACGGTAATCCAACCATATCCAACCCAGTTTATTTGATAGGTAAATATATGTGAATATGGTAAGTCATCCAACTAAATGGGCCATATACATATATATATATATAGATAGATAGACATGTATATATTTATATGTGTATATATATATATGTATCCATTTGCACAAGTTCTCAAACTGTTAATTAATCATTCCCAGAAAGTAAGTTCTAATCCTGTTCCTAATTTTGCTTGTTAAATTAAATCCCCAGTAATCAGATGGTATCATCCCCATTTTTGTTGGTGAAGTTAGATCCCATTGAGTCCCAGCAAATGCCAATAAATCCCATGAGATTCCACTAAATCCCAGTCAATCCCATTACCCCCCAGCAAAATCCCAGTCAATCCCATGTGATTTATTTAGTAATTTTAGTAAGTTCCCGTAAATTCCTATGAGTTGAAGGCCTGGCCTGGCCTGGCCAGGTTATCCGGGCGCCTCCAAAGAGGACTTTGCCCGGGCCTACGCTGAGGCGCAGCTGGGATTTGTTGAGGCCTTGCCGGAGAAGTACCATACCTTCGTAGGACGGCCGCGGGACCGCACGGCTTTGGGTGGAAACAAAGGGCTGGAAAAAGGCGGGGAAAAATGGGCCACTGGGCTGGTGGTTGAAGGGTTTTCTCTTTTGGTAAATTTCAGCCATGTGATTAGCAGCCATAACTTTGGCTGATCAAATGTTCCGATGTTTGATGGCTAAAGCCTTCATCATGGTGAAACAGACATTTGCATTGTTAGCTCTTTCGGCGAGGATAATTGTAATTGATCCCCTATATGGTTTTGTTTGAAAATAAGGTACCATAAATCCATGGATCAATCATGTTCAATCATAATTATTCAATCATCAGTACCCCTCAAAAAAACGCCGCCATTTGAGGGCATAATCATGGTAGACTAATTTTCATGATTATACAAGCCACTTGGTAAGGTATACTTAAGACTTAAGATTTTAGTATCCATTGGTAATCATGGTATACCATTTGGGGGTATAATTGTGGTAGACAGGATTTAATCTGATTTGATGGGATTTAATCCATATATATATATTTATTTATTTATTCATTTATTCATTTATTTATTTATAAATATTTATACAAATATATGGCATAACTATAGCCAATATAAGTTCAACTGTTTGCAGGGGGAGCTGGGCCACAGGAGCTGGGGGCGGTCAGCTGTCGGGCGGTCAGAAACAGCGTATCGCCATCGCGCGGGCCTTGGTGAACCTCGGCATCACTGTCGGGCCTTGGTCCGCTGAAACTCACCTTGCTGGTTTTGACAGTCCCTATTGGTGTGTGTTTGTGTGTGTGTGTGTATGTAGGTGTATGTTTGACATCACGCACCAGCTTGTATAACTCTGTAGCAAGGCTTGACTTTGCTTCTTATGGACCGCCCTGCACAATGATTCCCATGTATCTTTATCTTCAAAAACATGCAGTCAGGGACCGGCAGTAAGGGATAAGAAATCATTATTGACATATTCTATTTGCAAGTGCAGTTAAAATACTCACCGGCCTTTAAAATTAGCATATTCTATCTACCTTGTTAATTTTGAATATTCTATCTGCCTGTCCCTTATTGTAATACATATAATGATATAATATATATATATGTATGAATTGATATGGGTATAATATATAGGCATATATATATAGAGATGCATACCTATGGGGAGATATAGTCACAGGATTTTTGAGACTGATCCACTGGCAAATGGTGACTGATGAACTACAGTAAAAAAAAAAAATATATATATATATGATATAATATATATATATATATGTTTTTTTCTTTTTTCGGGGTAAGTATTTTTGTTTGGTAGATATATTTGAGTGGATCGCAACATATAACCGAGGAAATGGAGTGTGAATATGTTGTAAGATGGCGATTGTTTGATTGGTTATTGGATGTTGACAAAAGGTGCCCCAGTTCGATATCTAAGTTCGTAATCTAAGTTGCGTTGCATCAGTAGGTCCGTAGGTGAACTAGGCTTGTATAATTTTGTGGCTAAACTATTTATTGTCGATTGGATTTCCAAGCCAACTAAGTAGTGACTGGGGTAGTTGCACCCCGGATTTGCAAGTGGATTTTCGTTACTTCATCATTGCAATTAATGAATAATGATGAATAATGACACCACCTATGATTAGGCAATATTAGGACTGTATGTACCTCACATTTAAATTACTTTCTATCCCACAGTTGTAGGTAACAGACTGGTGCAAAAATTCCCTCATTGAACTAATTGTATCAGATTGTCACGCATTGCGTTATCATTCGTAGATGCATACATACATACATACCTACCTACCTACCTACATACATACATGAACATATGAAAATATGAACTTGGTTTTGGTGAGGATTCATTGCCAGCTTGCTGGAATCACCGTAGCCACAGGCCCGCGGCCCATCTACGCAATTAACCCAATCCTCATGCAGCAAACTGCCCCCGAAAGAACAGATTCAAGACGAAATCAGGGTTTCTGTGGGGGTCATAGGATCAGATCCCTTAATGCAAGTAATGACCAGCCATTTGTGGGCCCATGACTACCCGGACTACCCCATTTGGATCCAGGTATGGTTCAAAGTGTGGCATCAATGGGATTGCAAAACCAATCCTGTTATAGTTTGAAACATGTTGAATTTTGACGCATAGCCAAAGCCATGTGGGCTTGCCTGAAAAAAGGGTAACTTCTTTTTCTCCATCATAACCACGATTTGGGGAGTTAAATACCCCATTTTCAGACACCCAAATATCACAAATATCATGTTGATTACTTATATCCCACTAGATCCCATCAAGTATTTCCATGTTTTTTAATGCTAAGCATTGCCCATGAAATCCTCCCTTTACATAGCACCCTTGTTCATAGCCATAGCCCTTTTTGGCCGTGTGTCGCCATGTTTTTTTTCCGCCCAGGAAACGTGCATCTTTTCTGTTCTTGGATGAAGCCACCAGTGCTTTGGACAATGCATCGGAGTTCCCTGACTTCAACGGGCGCTGAGTGGCTGAGTGTGGCTGGAGCCGTCATTTTTCGTAATCAAATGGCAGTGCCAACTGATATGTTGGGCATCCCAGTTTCTGGTAGTTTCTGGACTTTGTTTTTGTTTTGGGTAGTGCCTGTGATTTTTGGTCACCATGAATTTGGTGACCTAATGACATGACCCAGTACCCAGCTTACCACATTTGGGCAGATGTGTTTGTTTGTGTTCAAGGGATTAAGTAGAATATTTTACGCGCCCAGGAAGCATCATTGGGTGCCCAATTCGAAGCAAACCAAAGAGAGTGTCTTGTGATCCTTTATATAGCTATTGGCAGCAGGACATACAAGTTTGTACTATAACCATTAGATAGACCTCATGCAACATATGACCATGACAAGTAATTATTGAATAAACATGCATATACATACACCACAATGATATACATCTATTCATGACCATGCTAAAACCAAGTTATAATTATAACCCACCCACAACATTCTGTGCAATTCTTTTGGTGTCACACGTTGCACGCATACAAAACCATGCATCCCAACCAATCCCGAAAGAACAATAAACTAAACACAGTCCAGCATGTTTGATCCACCATAGCATTTATTGTCGGAATCCCAATAGCAAATCTAGAGTTTGTGGGATGGTTTGAATTCCACATAAAAAAATGATTGCGGAGGTGGTTTATGGCATTGGGTTTACCACAATTTTCCCATTATCCATTCTTCATCCGTTGTTGTTGCTTATAACCTTCTTAACCCTTACTAGCTGTTAATAATTCTTATCACCGATGATTCTTGTTGCTTGTATATATATATATATATTATATACATAAATAAATAAGTGCATATATGCAGAGAGAGAGATATATATATATATATATATATATCGTTATTAGGTTATAGATGGTTATAGTGAATATTAGGTTACTACCCCCAAATATTCAGTTACTATCCCCAATAATCAACAGTGAACTCCTTTGATAAACACTATCCCCAAAAATAAACAAACTGGATCCCAAATAATATGGATGTCATATTGCCATACAAGGTGGTGCCTCCCCAGTTGTAAGTTGGCTTAAAACCCCAAGTAAATATAGATATATCTACTGTATATGAGTATATAGTATATATTTTTGAAAATATAGTTATTGCAATTATGTTCACCAACTTAGCCAACAAACTGGGGCACCACATTGTGTGCATCCCATGATAGTAACAACCATAGTAGTAAATCCTAATATAAAGCATTCCAACATTTTTAAAAAATCCACCATCGCATTTATAATCTATTGCATAATAACCATTCCACCAGTTTTTTAATTGTATAATAAAATTGGAATATATATATATATATATGGTTGGTGGTTTGGAACATGTTTTCCATATATTGAGAAATTCATCATCCCAACTCCACCATTTTTTTTAAAGGGGTAGGGCTCAACCACCAACCAGATATATATATATATATATATTTATATAGATAGATAGATAGAAAGATATATATATATATATATATAGATATTTTCATATGCCATATGCATCCCACTGACCTTAAAGGAAGATGATCCAACAGACCATCGACAGCCTCTGCGGCCGGGACCTGGGCATCGTCAGCATCGCACATCGCCTCAGCACCGTGCGGGGCGCAGAGAAGATCTATGTGCTGAGCCACGGGGCCTTGGTGGAGAGCCTTGGTGGAGCCACAACCAGAAATCATGTGGTTATAAAGTGGTTATACAATGAAGGTAATTGGTATTATAATTACCTATAGTTTATAAATGGTGGTTATAAATCAAAGAAGGTTATAGTGGTTATAAATCAATGAAGCCCTATGTTTTTTTTGGTGGAATATTTTTTGCATATGATTTGGTTGGTGGTTTGGAACATGAATTTTATTTTCCCATTCAGTTGGGAATTTCATCATCCCATCTGACGAACTCCATCATTTTTTAGAGGGGTAGGTATACCACTCAATGGATTGGTTTAAGGGAACATTTACAAGAAAGCCCCATATTTAATGATCCTCCTCTGTACTACCAGTTTTTTTTTCCTGGGGGTTCAGTACGCTTTAAAAAAAAAAAACTATTTTCCAAAAATCTAGCAGACAGTGGGTGAGGGTCCCGGGGCATGATATGGGGCCAGGAATAAAATATCATACCAAAAAAGGCCCAGATTTTTTTTCCTGAAAGCTTCCTGACGTACAGCGACAGGAAATCAATTTCTGTCTGTTGTGATTGAGGGGGGGTTGATCTATCAGTCTGTGTATGTAAGGCATCAGGAAATCAATCATGAATGACTCTGATAATGAGTAAGTTTGTAGAATTCCCAAGGTTAGTAGCCAGGAATTTGAAGGTGGATGGATCAAATGGGAGTTTACTAGAACATATCTAAATGTCAAACCCCAGGAAAAAATGTACCATGATTAATTAAGGGGGTATGATTCTTTACAGGACTTTGCAAAAGGGTACAAACACATATGCTCACCTTCACCAACAAAAAAAGTGACTTCAAGAGGCCAAGGCGCAGGGGTCAAAAATAAAATCCAAGGGGCTGGACCTTTTTTTGACTGAATACTTGCGGATAATCTTCAAAGGTTGGCCCACAGGAAAAAAGTCGCATCACCAGGCCAATCATCCACAGATAGGACATGATGGGACGAATTCAAGAATTTTGTGTCAATGCGCGCCCAAATTACAAAACATATGTTTTTGCTGAAAATGCATTTGTCCTTGCAAAAGGGTACAACCACATATGTTCAGCTTCACCAACCAAAAAAAAGGTGACTTGAAGAGGCCGAGGCGCAGGTGTCAAAAATAAAATCCAAGGGGCTGGACCTTCTTTTGGCCGAATTCTTGTGGATGATCTTCAAAGGCTGGCCCCACAGGAAAAAAATCGCATCACCAGGTCAACCATCCATAGATAGGAAATGATGGGACACATTGAAGAATTTTGTTCCAACGCGTGGCCAAATTGCAAAACAGGCGTTTTTTCCTGAAGATACATTTGTCCATGCAAAAGGGTTGCGCATTGCCGTGGGCATCTGCCGGACCGCACTCGTGAAGCCGTGGACTCTGAAAAACTGCGAGCTGTCAGCCGGGAAGTCAGGTGCCAGGAATTCATTTTTTTCCGTATCAGATTGAGGGGGGGAAGATATGGCATGTTACCAACGCAAGCATCCAGGAAATATTTTTTTTACTTGGATATCAGAGGGGTAAATTTATTGGATGTTGGACGTTGGGCACCAGGAAATTAGCAAAGAAAATTCAAAAAGGTGGTTGGAAGTGAGATTTCGGCTTCAGAGGTTAGGAGCCAGGAATTTAAAGTTCTAAAACCATCTAAAACCTCTCTCAAAGGTTAGGGGTCATCATTTTAGACCGATTTTTTTCTAGGATTGTACCCCACGTTTTTGTACCGACGGGGATTTTAATGGGAAAATCTATGGTTTCCGGTTAAGATTTCCCTTGAACCAATCCATTGAACCACCAACCGTCACCAACCAGTATATATTATATACATTATCTACATATCACACCAGGTATCCCAAAAATGTTGGGGGGATTTCCTCTGAGGTTTAACCATGTAATAACCATATATATACTATAATAATTGCATATATTAACCATATATTGACCATATATTAATCCATTGAACCACCAACCAGTGATAACCATATAATAACCATACTAATTAGCCATGGAATGTTAGCTGGTAGCCGGGCCCCGCTGGTCGCCAATTTGAGGTCCGGACCTCACCGGGATGTCACAATGGATGTTTTTTTTAACCTCGAACCATGGAGATTTTTCAGCCACAAAATGGTGGGCCCCGGCCTGGTAAACCATGGGAAAAGCATGGGAAAAAAACATGGGAAAATGGTGATCATATGGAAAATCATCATTTTTAATAAGGTAAATAAATCAACTATAAATGGCAATTTTCCATAGCTTTGTTAAATTACCAGAGGGTATAAACATGTTATAGATGGTTATTCAATAGTTGTAGTGGTGATAAATAGTTATAAAAAGCTATTCTAATCCATTGGCAATGGTGACTTATATAGATGGTTCTTATATAATTGTGATAACGCGTGTTAACCAGCGACTAACCATTTAAAAATTAGTGATCCAAGTGAACTACCCATTTACTAACCCATAAAGACGAATCATTCAAGTACAAACTTACAAACCAATCTTTCTTCAATGAAACAACGAACTTCGGGTGCAACGTGGGGACCTCCTTAAAGAAAGTCTGGTGGCAAACGTAAGCCCGCATGGCAAAGGTGAGAAAATGACCTGGGTCAACCTTGAAGGGGTGATGTATGAACCTATTACTTGTAACATGATAATTGTTTGGTTTTATTAATATCGTGATGTGCATCTATGCATCTATCTATTTATCTATCTATCTATCTATCTATTTATCTATCTATCTATCTGTTTATCTATCTATCTACCTATTTGTTTGTCTGTCTGTTTGTCTATCTATCTATCTATCTATCTACCTATTTGTTTGTCTGTCGGTTTGTCTATCTATCTATCTATCTATCTATCTATCTATCTATCTATCTATCTATCGATCTATCGATCTATCTATCTATCGATCTATCGATCTATCGATCTATCGATCTATCGATCTATCGATCTATCGATCTATCGATCTATCGATCTATCGATCTATCTATCTATCTATCTATCTGTCTATCTATCTATCTGTCTATCTATCTATCTATCTACCTATCTATCTATCTATCTATATATATATATATATATTTATTTATTTAGATATACACACACACATATATATATATATATTTACATTTACATATAGATAGATATATAGTGTTTGTGATGCTCAGCGTACCCCACGAGGAGTGGAAACCATGCGTCCTTGATGGAGATGCGGGGCACCTACTTCGCGCTGGTTTCGGCGCAGGAATCGGCACAACGCGTGGAGGAGAAGGAAGAGCTGCAAATTACGGAGGAGCCAATGATTTCAATGTCAGTCGTTGGTGCTAGGGCCGTAGATGGCATTCCGCCACGGAAAAAAAACACCAGTAAGATGGGCAGTCGTCGTTGGTGACTGTTAAATTCCATGGCTCTTATTTCATTCACATGTCCACGTCTTGAATTGGCAAATCCACTCCATGGCTTAAATTATATAAGATTTTTTAAATTCCATGGTGCTTCCCACCGATTCTCTTTGACTTTTGGTGTTTTTGTGGGATAATCAATGGCAATTTTGGCATTCTGTAACCACTAGAATCACTAGAATTAAACTTTTTGGCAAGGGAGCTAGGAACTGAAGATCCTCAAGTTTTCTTTTTTGAAACAAATCACTGATTTCGGAACACTTATAAGTTAAATATGTAAGATTGCATATGGACAGTGTACACTAATACGGCTAGACATGGATAAACATACTCTGAGTGGTTGGTCAAGGGTTTGTTTTCACACGGTTTAAAAGTTCGACCTGCCAAACAGGTGCTTGAAAACAGCAAATGATGGATCGACCGAGTGATGAATGGTGTCCATGGGGTATTTATCGCTTGCCATGTGACAATCATGTGGGCACAATATAGCCCGAACTGGTTATGGTTAAGAAGATAGTCATATCTATGAAAAATGTATTTTCCATGGCTAAGCTAGATACTCTCCCGCAAAGACGTTTGACGTTGAAAATGGCCACTGCTGAGTGGAGAGTAATTGTCCAACCGCCTGGCAGGGTCCCGGTTCGCTGGGGGAATGGTCCCCCGTTTGCCCAGATGTTTGGGAACACCGGGGTGCCCGTATGGTGGTGTGTTAAAATGCAGGACCCCCAAACCCACTGCACTTGGTACGTATTAATTGGTCACGCTGAATGGGGAAAACCATGGTTTTGGGGTGATCAATAACAATAGAACCATCATGAACCATCCACATGTGGGGTTTCTTCAAATAGGGGATCCCGAAGCCACAATGTTGGTTTCAATACTGAGTCAGGACCATTTGTGACTTGGATGATTTGGGGCTACCCCCATGACTTCAGAAACCTTCATATATCAATATAGCTCCTGGTTATTTAGCACAGCTATGGAAGCCATTGCCCATTGACATTGATGATTTACATTGATTATTGATTTACCTTTAAAAAACTGTAGGCAGTTGTGACTTTTCCATACCTATTTCAACCTATCTTTCCATGGCTTCCGGGTGCCAGTGGTCCAGCAGGAGGAAGCGCAGCAGAAGAGGCTGTCCGAGCACAGCAACGAATCGGCGGGGCAGCGCTTGGCCAAAGAGAAGACGCCCAGCATGGAGAGAAACCCTTGGAAGTGACGTGATACGGATTTAATATCTGAATATAACGAAATAATATGATTTAATGTAAAAACCATTAGATATGTCATAATGTAATATGATGATATATGATGTATTTTTTGGGAATAATTGATATATGATACAACCAACAAATGATAGATTATATTAGAATATACAAGCTATAAACCATTGTGAGCCCATTTCATCCGTCTCATCCGCGTGTGGTATTGATTTAAATGTACTGTTTTAAACACATCCAGGATCAGCACGATGAAACAATTAAATGAAAAGCTTCGACGGGTGATGAAAGGAGACACTTTCAGATTTCAGGCACATAGAGTTGGTTGAAAACCCGAGCAGTGGATGGAAGTGGCAAACGTTGTGGGGAATACAGGGGCCTCTAGCTATGCTTCAGGTCAGGTTGTGTGGTTCTGACTGTGACTTGCATGCTTGGAAAAACAGCACATACTATTAATGAATAACTAGTCAATGTGCTCGTGGAAATGCGAAAAAAAAACTGTGACTTGGCCTGTGCCTTTTCAGTTGCCATGTCCCACTGTTTGGCTCATGAAGTTGGTGTACGGAAGATTTGGTGATGGTAAACCAATTCTCGGAGTTCCTTCTGGAATGCACTCTGGGTTCCTTGAAGGCAAGCTTACCCAATGACTCTTGGATCAAGGATGTAAAACATGCCAATGGGGATGCCTGAGCTGTGTAATTTAAGCGTGAGACTCAGGAAAGAAGAAGAGAATCGCGTGAAGGAAATCAATAAGAACTACAAGGCCTCCCCATTGCTACATGCTTTGGATGTTGCCATGGTGCTACCCCTAAAGGGTTGCGTGGTTTGCCATGAAGAATAGAGGTGGCTTGAGGGGTCATAAATTCACCAGCATCAAGCCGTTTTTTTTGGGCGGTGACTTCAACCCAGTTTCACCTTTGTCACTTGCATTCGGGATCTTCATGGCTGTTTGAATGTGGATCCCATTTAGTGAGTGGTTTATAAACCATATAACACGCACGCATATATATATATATCATATATATATATATATATATATATCATATATATATATATACATACACACACACATATATATATAATATATCATATATGTATATGTATATGTATATATACTTAAAGTATGTGTATATATATATATATGTATATATGCATATAGCTGGAAATGTTCCGCAATGTTCGATATGTCGTTGGGTTGTTTCAGTGCTATTTTTTTCAATTTAGCCACATCTCCCATGCCTCGGATCCCAACCATCATCAGATCCAGTCCCTTTTCGCACTGGGTCAACCAACTGGATGGCTAGCAAACCATCATCGTATCATCGTTAACCTGTTTTTTGTAGGAATGTCATCATAAACCAGCTAATCATTTCCTAATTTTTGAAGGGGATCTACTATTCAGCAAGTGGCGTATCAAACTATATATATATAGCTATATCTACAGATAAATAAATAAATAAATAAATAAATAAATATATATATATATATATATATTATATATATATCATATATAACATTTACATATGGATAAGATTGGCAGGTGCCCATGGGCCGCTTGTTGCGCTACAATCGCCCGGAGTGGCCCTTCTTCGTCCCAGCGCTGCTGGGGGCCTTGGTGGATGGCTCCGTGATGCCGCTGTGCACCATTGCGCTGGTTGGGGCCATGAAAGGCGGGCCACATGGGAATCCCTTGATGGTGCCCCACAGTGATGTTTGTTGGTTTATAAAGCCCATGAAAACATCCATGAATACTATAGTCATATCTGCCATAAACCAGAGTTAAGCCACTTATATCTCAACTGAACGCTATCTTGGGGGCCCCGTCCTGTAGGAAAAATGGTGGGAACAAAATGAACATATCATGTGAAACTATAGGAAAATGATGGAACATGTGGGAAAATAACATACTAGTACTAGGTGGTTTACCCCAGGAATTTTAAGTGAATGATAGTTATAGCATGCTGTAACATGTTATAACCCCAGTCAGTAGGGGAGAAGTCAGGTTGGTCCAGCTATTGGAGTGAACTAAGCAACTTGCTGGGCGGGTGAACCCCCAAGTAGGACAATAGGAGACCAGCGATCCATCGTGTCCACTTGTCCAATCTTGCGGCACAGGTTTCTACAAGGTGGACAAGGATGAGATGAGAGAAGACATGGAGCCTCTTGGAGGATCGTTTAGAGGTGAAGGTTTGACACTCCATCCCCGGTGGAATGTATAATACAATGTGGTGCCCCAGTTTGTGAACGCTAAGTTGGTTTATAACTACAATGACTCTTGGGTTTATTATTGTAGATATATCATGATATATCTATAGTTACCTAGGGTTATAAAGCAACTTACAACTGGAGGAGCACCACCTTGTAGTTGTCATCATGGAACCTGAAGATCAGTCACACCCAAGCGTTCAACACATTTGAAGCCCATGTGCCCCATGTTCGGGCTCAGGAGATATCACCAGGTCCAGACAGGCAAATCATGGCAAATCTATTTTACAAAGATGTCCCCTCCAGTTATCAGTTGGTTTAGGTTCACCTATCCAAGTGTGATAGTTTTTAAGATTATCCAGATATGTCCAGCAAAAAAAACGTTTGTTCGCTTAGCTGATTCTATAAATTTTCATAATTCAAGGACATAAGAGAATTACACGGAAATAAGGCTTAGGATATTTGCAAACCTTGTTTCGGATTGAAATCCAGTTTGAAAGGGTTTCGAACAAATTGTATTGAATCAGGTAACTGCAGCCATCCACATGACTCATTTTGAGAAGAATTTGGGTGACAAACTAGTAGATGTTCACAGCGTAGGTCAAAATAAAGCATGCGCAGAAAATAACAGGAGCCATAAAGAAACAAATGCAGGCACCTAAAGAAAACATCCAAAACAAATACTTACAACATCTTGCAACAGCTCTTTGGACTTGCTCCACAGCAGCAGCTGTTGGTGTTGGGCATGAAAATGGAAATAATCTATTTACATTTACATTCTTCAATTCTTCAAGTCTGCTCGCTTTTGTTCGAATTTTTTGTTTAATTAACCATGTTCATGTTTATTTTTCTTGGTATTTTGTTTTTATATGTATGGTGTTTAAAATTATTTAGGTGTTTTTTTGCAGACAGACGCCTTGCCATCTGCCAACCAAAAAATATTTTCTATGAATCACTAAAGGCCCGCCGCAGGCGCCACTTTTGAGCATATTGCCGCTCAAAGAACATTGCTTCCACCAATTTGAAAGCAATCTAAAAACTAAACACTACAAATATGCATTGATTTTTCAAGGACATTTCATTTTTTCATTTGTTTCAAAGTTTTCATTTTTCATTTTTATATGTTACCTTTTTTTCCGAAAAGACAATATCTTTTATTTCTTGAAAAACGATGATTATTTATACAAATTCATATCTTTTGCATTTTTACTTATTCTTTTTTCTGCATACCCACCAGTGCCTCACGAGCAACCTAATGGAGCGGTTGGTGCCCCGTTCACCGTTGTCCAACCGATTGCGGAATCAAAGCGAGATGATCCAACTCATCGCGAATCGAAAACAGAGAATGAGAACCGAAATCACGCTGAAGATTTTTGAGAGATAAAGTGGCCAGAAGAAACCAAGCTCTAGACGGAATGGAAAAGCAGAACATCCCATAGAAACCTTTAAGTTGGCTAAACCCGAACTCCGAACAGATTTTGCTACAATCATCCAATTGGAACCCATGCTTCACATCTTTAAGAAAGGCTACAGCAGCGCGCCGAAACTTGCACACATTGTGATGAACTGACCAATGGTCAAACCATTCAACTGTTTCAGGAAACAAAGAACAAAAATCCACAAACACAAGCAACCAAGGAATCTTAATCCCATCCCGCGTTGGGGAAAAATGGACCTTAGCTCTCTGAAAATATTTCAACATGGTGCAACCAATGGACAGTTTCTGCAGTGATGGGCTCATGTCAATTACGACATTTCCGAAAGAAGGTCGCGGCTGGGGATATCCTACAAACCGGTTTGTAAACACACAATAGTGAGTAGAAATCTTATCAACCAACTCCCAAGTCAAAGTTCCACTGCGACAAGCATGACAGTAGGCATCTTCGATTGACCCGGTCTGCAAGCTAGGCATGTCACAGCAAGTGCCTCTACAAATGGAGATCTTACCCTTACAGCGTGTACGAGGAGCACAGTTACATACAAAGGTCGTTGGCTGAGGAAAGGCATGAATTTCATCCTCCCCTTCGCCTGCGTCAAAACCTCCATTCTCAGCAACTTGGGCCCGAATTGCCAAAGTGGAAACTATATGGGTCTGAAGGTCAACTGCGCGATACACACAATTATGAAATCTCTGGCTGTGACCGTCCGCCAACCGCTTAGCAGCTGACCGGGCCAATTCATCAACAGCGGCGTTGCCAGATGTCAAGTGTTGGGATTGAGTTGGATCGCCGTCTTTTACATGTGCCTTCACCTTGAAAACAGTGATCTTGCCAGGAAACCCCAGCCACGCATCACAAATACAAGTCCACAAGTCCTGATTATCACACTGATTCAAGAAATTGGAACGTTGATCTTCGCTGATGATTGCTGCCATACCTCTGACAACCTCAAGGCAGTCAGAGGCCAACTCAACAATGCCGCAAAAGTGCCTGAGAACCAAAAGCAAAGCTACGATTTCAGCCCTGAGCGAATTAACATCGCTGCAATCCAAGTTGATAACACACTTTGTCTGACCAGGCACTAGATAGGCAGCAGTGGCAGTACGAAGCTCTTTGATTGGAAAAAAGAAACAGCTTCCATCAACAAACACGGTATCGGAAGGAGCAATCCGCTCTCTAACAGGAATGGTTGGCAAATTCGACGCAATGGGGGACACAGGGGTGAAAATAATACCTGTATTCCATGAAAGTGAAGGCTGAATAGGTGGATTACACGGTCGGGTTGCACGGTAGTGGTCACATTTGGCAAACAAGTGATGGTGAGTTTCCACCTGCCCACAAAAAGGGCACAACCTGCTTTTAGCCAGCTTTGCTGCACAAAGTCGAGGAGCAGTGAAAATTCGTCCGCTCAAAGCTTGCTGAATGTAGCGTTTCACATGCTCTCGTGTCTTCAACTTGATTCTGGCCAACAAGGGTTCAATAATAGAATGAATGTCCTCATGTTTGAAGGAATTGTCAGACAGAAACCGGGTCAAAAACACATTGATACATGACTGAGGGGGAATTTCACCCTTTTCATACCGATCATTCATGAGGGACAAGATATGCAATCTGACCGCATCCCCAATCAATTCTCGAAAGTAAGCATCACTGAAATCGATGATCCTGAAACTACCAGCTGGCGTTTGGATTCGCAAGTCGGCAGGATCACTGATGCTCCACTGAATTTTGTCTAAAACAAATCGGAGAATCCTGTGGTGCCCGTTAACAGCCCCAGACTTGGGAACAGGAGTACTGTAAGCCTTCTGAAAAATTCTACGAGCAGCAGCAGGATCCTTTTTGGAAATTTTGCGCAACCCCCACAAAATGTGAAAAATCCACTTCGCGATGGGGTCAAGAAAAGGGTCTTTCTGAATTGCTAAAATTAAAGCTGGTGACCTGATTTTATTGTTGGATGGGTCCAAAACATTCACAACTGCAGTGCGAAGGGCCCGAATATCCCGAATGGACACCCCTTGGGTTTCAGTGCCAAAGATCCATTTTGAATGCCCATGGATTTGAACATACGAGGCCCTATGGTCGGCAGGGATAGGAAGGGACCGGATTTTTGAAAGTGTATCAATGGCACTGTGAACCCTTTTCCTTTGAAGGGTCGAATCCCGAGTATTACAGCTTTGATGGACTCTTCCCAAGGACTTGACTTGGCGAGCAACAGCAATGGGTCTTCCAACCATTTTGCGGATATTACGAGCATCCTGTTTTGTAGGGGCCAACACTTGAGATTTCTTGTCATTCAAGACCTGCCCTATGCTTTGATCAAATTCGGAAATATACTCGAATGCTTCAACCACCTGATGTGTGAATTGCTGAAAACCCCAAATCTTGCAGTCATCAATGAAGGTAGAAATAGAAACTTGAGGGACAACTTTTTGAAGACTCCTAACCAAAATAGAATACATAACATTAACCATCATAACACTCATGGAACAACCTTGAACAGCAGCATTACAAGAAAGAACGTGCCCACTAAAAAAGGAACCAATTTTGAAACACTTAACCTGATCGGTGTAAAATCCCAAAATGGCCCTACAAATCAAGGGGGGCAACCCCACACTCTTAGCAATGCCAATTGCCACCTGGGGTATCACGAGGTCGAAACATTTCAGCCGATCGATAAAAATTGCTACAGCTTTCTGGGATTCATCACCGTCATGTTCATGCAACGTGTGTGAGAATTGTATTTCGGAGAGGTCAGTTGTACGCTTTGGCAAACCACCAAGCAGCCCAGGGGGTGCAACATCGTTCATCCAATGACTAAGGTGATGAAAGCGAACACTAGACCACAGGGAATACACAACGCATGAAACACCAATAGCACGCATGGAATCGGGGTCCAAAATGGGCGAATCATTTTTGGTAATGCACGTCACGGACACGCATCTGAAGACTTGGGGCCACTGTCCAGTGGCTTCTGCCATTACTGCCACAAGATGGAATGGAATCCACCCTTTGGGCGGTAGCTGTTGGAGGTCTTTGTACCGCCACTGATCCAAGCCTGACGCTTTGCAGGCTGGCTTTTTTTGGCACGCATCGAAGAAGTCATGGGGGGTCAGAAAAGGCAACTTACACTCCCTGAAAGTATCCTGAATTCCAACATGATATTTGAGAAGGAAATTGTCCAACATTTCAGAAGGATCAACCCCTTGATACTTGTTGTAAATAGCACCCATTCTGTCAGCGATGACATCCAACATAGTAGGGACACTACCAGTCACGGTTTTTCCATGCTTCATCAATTTGGCAGCACCGGTGAAACCACCCTTGATCCACCGATGTACAGCTCTTCGGTCAGTCCTACTAGAAATCCGCAATTTCTGTTTCCATTTGCGAATGGCAGCATGATGAGATTTCCAATCTTGATCCCGAATTTGTCTAGCAAAATCCTGCTGTACCTTGAGAACGTCATCGGCACACGCAAATGAAAACGTCGACAAATCAAGCTCCAATAGGTTCG